TTAAAATCGCCCCCCCCCCAGCCTTCATAAATAAACTTTTATTTGTATACCCATGCATGATCAAAAGAAAAGCATAAGAGTTCAACCAAATAATTAGTAGTTTCTGAAAATAAAAAAAGTTGTTTCCTCCGAAGGCTATCTGAGATATATTTAAGGGTTCTGATATAATTATTGCCGTGAGCATTCAAAATCCATTTATTCTAAAAATTAAATCAAAAACCAAATTAAGCATTACACTGTAATATAGTTTCAAAGTCCTTGTGTTTACCTTAGCTGGGCAAAATCATAACTCATGGTTGGTACGTCTCCACTCTCATTATCCTCAGCTTTCTCTACCAGAACATTATCCTGGGAAAACCTTTTATCAAATCACATTCCAAAACTTCAATTTTTTCCGTTTCGCTGAATGAAAGAAAAAATGATTTAAAAAAAATATTTGATCAAAAAGCCTTGCGTTCGAGAGCGTGAATAAGTAGATGAGATATGTTAACTAACCTTGAATGTTAACTCGTAATCATTCTTTATCTTAGAGTAGGCTTTGTTTGCAGCTTTCACGGCACATCTGGAGATGTAATACACTTTCCCGACCTAGGATTAAATCTTATTATTTTTCTTCATGTTAACATCTTATTCAACACATTGATCCTACCAACCATTATCTATATATATGTATCTTAGTGATGATCATATTGATCCTTATAGCCAATCATATCTTAATATTGATTATGCTTATCTTTGTGTCTTAGTATATTGATCGCACTTGAGCCTTGTTGCCTAAATGATATCTTAATATTAATCCTTGTAACCTGAACCTTATTTAAGTATTGATTGCACTGATCCTTGTTACCTGGATCTTATCGTAGGATTGATTGAGTGATCCTTGTTACAAGAATCATATTGTAGAATTGACTCCATTGATCATTGTAACCTAAATCGTATCTTAGTATTGATCGCACAGATCCTTGTTACCTATCATATCTTCATATTGACCATACTGATTCTTGTTACCTGGTTCATATTTTAGTATTGATCGCACTGATCCTTTCAGTATTGATAGTATTGATCGCACTGATCCTTGCTAGCTGGATAAATTTTTAGCATTGATCGTATTGATCCTTAACCTTTTTAACTGAATCATATTTAATATTGATCGCACTGGTCATTATGAGCTGAATCGTATCTTAATTTTAATCAAACTGGTCCTTGTTATCTAAATCATATCTTAATATTGATCATAGTGATCTTTGTGTATTAGTATTGATCGCACTTGATCCTTGTTGCCTAAATCATATCGTAATATTGATCCTTGTAACCTGGACCATATTTAAGTACTGATCGCATTAATTCTTGTTACCTGGATCATATCGTAGTATTGATCACACTGCTCCTTGAACGCAGTGGCCCTGATCTCCCCACTGTCATCCATGAGATCCATACTAATCAAATCAACTTCATTTTATCGTCGTATTAAAGATCATAATACGAACAACATAAATTAAAATCAAGGACTAATCAGAAATTTCAAGTAACCGTCTATTTATAAAGCGGCATGTCCGATTCAGATCGGTACCCTTTAAACCGTTGACGAGTACTTAATTTCCTTTGGTGCACAAATTCGAAATTCATTTTTTAAGAGAACCACAGTTGAAAATATTTAATTTCCAGACGGAGAAACAGGGACAACTCCACCATTTTTGCTTAGACTAAGGTTGTACCATTAGGAAGACAAAATGCAACTCTTTAAAATACGTGGACAGACCCTTTAACTGGTCTTGTATAAACTTAGTGATGGTTGTTAATGTTTAAACTCAAGTTCCTTTAAAATATTTCATGATTACACTGAACGATGGCAGAGATTAAAAATTAAAAAGAATTTTTGATTACCAATTCTACTAATCTTATTCTTTGTATTATACGTAAAATATTTTGTCGAAGAAAAATATTACAATTTATTGAAGCTGTTCCTAAATAGTTTCCCTGACCCACTCGCCTTGTTCCAGGTTCTTATATCAGATTTAGAGGTCACACGGGCCTTAAACAGATTTATTATTTACATTTGGTAATTTTACTCCATTTAAATTACTGCCCTCGTTGAATTAGGAAAAATAAATGATTTTTATGAGGAAATAAATGATTTATATGGGGAAATAAATGATTTTTTAATTAAATCCAATTTTTCACTACCCCCTCCCCTCTCCCCAATCATCAATCATCAAAAATCAATCCCCTCCCTCCAGGGGGGGGGGGTTGTAATTCTTAAAATTATAAACCCCTGACTTCAATCCGAAACTGCTGAGAACGAATATAACTGGCAAACAATCGAGCAAAGTTTGCTAAGGCCAATTAAATGTTAACCAAATAATGTGAATTTCTTTTATTTTACAACCTTTATGGTCCATTTGTTCTGATACGGCGTGATGGAACTGATGGGGGCAACCACGTGACCGGCACTACTAGCAGATACAGCACTAGGTTTACTGGACAGGACACTCCTAAACAAAGAGATTAAGATTCAGAGGTTCCGTTTTTCCATGAAAAATAGTATCACTGTCTAGGCGAATTTTAGGCGAAATAAATTATATCAGAGGTAAAATAAATGTAATAAATGTATTTTTGGTTAGAAAAAGAAGGGAATAACTTCCTAGTAAGAGGGCAAGTGAATTAAAAATAATTTCCCTTTAGATAATTCAATTTGCTTCCAAATATGGGGTTGACAAACTGAGATTACTATTATTACATTAAATAGATATATTGAATATTTATATATAAAGACAATATATTTCATTAATCAAACCTGTTTGTTGGCAGCTTAGCCGGTGGTGCAGAGTTGCTTGGCTCAGCTGGTCTTTTCACTGCTCCAGCGTTAGGGTCAGTATTTATTGGGAATGGATTAGATTGAACCTTCTCCCCTAATTCTTATGAATATTACTTACTAGGAGCAGATCCGTCTGTGGGAAGTTGCACAGGAGATCCAATCTTTCTTCCGACTTCGGATCCTAAATATTCAAAAAATATTAATAAATGATGCAAGACCCTCTCACATCAGTCCTACTACCAAACATAAACTAATGAAAATCGAACAAAAAAACTGTAAGAAAATCAAATAACATCATGAGCATAAGCTGCTAAGCTGAATAAGCTGAAAACTAGCCTGGGTTAACCACCTCTATATCCATGGGAATATAATGCTTTAGACTAGCAAAATAACATTAGTTAACCAACTCTATATTCATGGGAATATAATGCTCCAGACTAGCAAACTAACTTGGGTAACAACCTCTATATCCTTGAGAATATGATGCTCTAGGCTAGCAAACTAACCTGGGTTAACAACCTCAATATCCTTGAGATTATGATGTTCTAGACTAGCAAACTAACTTGGGTAACAACCTCAATATCCTTGAAAATATGATGCTCTAGGCTAGCAAACTAACTTGGGTAACAACCTCAACATCCTTGAGATTATGATGCTCTAGACTAGCAAACTAACTTGGGTAACAACCTCAATATCCTTGAGAATATGATGCTCTAGGGTAGCAAACTAACCTGGGTTAACAACCTCAATATCCTTGAGATTATGATGCTCTAGACTAGCAAACTAACTTGGGTAACAACCTCTATATCCTTGAGAATATGATGCTCTAGGCTAGCAAACTAACCTGGGTTAACCACCTCTATATCCATGAGAATCAGAACAGATTTACCACCGGCCACCTAAGCAAAAATTAATTTTCTAATTATGTAATTGCGTCAACTTTCTTGCGACTTGAATATAATGTCGTTTATTGATTCTACGTGAAAAAATGTAAAGAAACTTGAAGTTCAATAAACAAATTGACAGAAGTACTTATTTATGCTCTGATCATGTATATGTGTGTATATGTATATGTGAATTTGTTATTCATGATATCAAGATAAACATTAAACACTCCTGCTCTGACTGACCTGATTGCAGATATGTTTCTTTATTTTCACAACGGTAAAGGCAGCCAACTTATTCTCATGAATCATATGATTGAGTTGAGTTGCCAGCATACTGAAACTGTTACTGTACTGTCCTGAACAGAAAGTCCATTATTATCGTAGGATTCCATCAATTATCCAGCAACAGAGACGTCACAAAATCCAAGATAAACTTTCAGGGTTAATATCGACTTCTGGAGTACGATGTAATGTTACTTTGACAAAATGTCTGTTTCTGTTTTTTTTTTCTTACAGTGGTAGGCGATTATATCAATACAAAGAAGTCTCATTTTTTGATAAATTTTGATAGTTAAAGATTTTTTCGATTTACAAGCAAACAAATAATACAAAAGAAGCTTTTTAATTGACAGCGTCTCTTGACTTTTTTTGTTTATCCATGCTGTTTAACAACTCGATCTAAATCAATAATAAACTTCTGATGTAGTCTTCATTGTATTGATATAATAGCCTTACCGCTGTATATGACGTAAAGCCGAATCTAAATCTAAAATCTTTCTGATGTAGATATAATTTCCGACCTTATTTTTCTAAAATTCATATAATTACTGATGAGTTTCTAAGAAGCCATACATATTCCATTTATGGACGTAAAGTTTGCTTCCTACAACTTATTATGCCCATATTTTTGGGAAGTGCTGCGAAATGTAGCTCAATACTATAATATTTCGAATATTATCGTTCAATGACCTTTTTTTGTATATATTGTTAATCTTTCTACATTTTACAGATAAACCGAGCTTACCATCAGATATCAGAAGTCTGTGCCTCTCTTGTCCTGAACTCTGTATAGGTTTAGAACCTAGAACCTAAATAGAATTATGAATTAAATTGACCAATGAATCGGAGTCCAATTGTCCAAATTGACCCTGACCTATAGGTCATTTGTGTTTAATACTAGCTGAAGGGCCCGGCGTTGAAAAAAAAAACTGCAAAATTATTCTTATTTATTTTTAATAATTTTAGGGTTAGGTTAGGTTAAGACAATTTCTGGGCCGGTCGCTGCGGTCAGGACAGGCTAGAGGGAGCCGAGCACCGCGAGTAGGACAGGCTAGGGGACCGGGCGCTGCGGCCACATGACCAATTATATCCATGTGTTACATATGAGATCCATGTACAAAATTCTTCTTCTTAAAAACTTTATTCAATACTAAAAAACACATCAACCATAGTATACATCACATGCAAAAAGTGGAGAGAAAAATTCTCTCATTATAAATCCTTCGCATCTATTGCTGTAATGAGCTGCTTTTAGCAGACCTCTTCAATGATAATGGTTTAATCAAAAACAAGATCGATTTACTTTTGCAAGTGTAGTTGCAGACTTTTCATCTTTAAAATAAAATTACAAACTTGAACAAAACTGCAATAGGTAAATTTGATTCTGTAAATATTTTTCAAAATTTATTACATCAAGTGATGAAGGCATTGGCTGACAGTTTATTTATTGGCCTTCGTATAGTATACATGACGAGACAGATTCAAGGAATCATAAACTTTCTACTTTAACTTTAAGAAAAAGATTTTTAAGTTTGACAGTAAAATGCCATCTGCTTTATCTTGTTTTCAGAGAGACTCCGTTAAAAATGTCAAGTAGTCCTACAGTAGTAAATTCAGCTGGAAATCCTGCTTCGAACCCTGGATCCAACCAGACCTCAAACCTGGACCGGGAGAAGGTTTATCAATGGATTATCGAACTCTCAGCTCCGGATACAAGAGAAGCTGCACTTCTGGAACTGTCTAAGAAAAGAGAAACAGTTTTAGACTTGGCTCCGATGCTTTGGCACTCATTCGGAACTATGAGTGCTCTTCTCCATGTATAAGTTTTTCTATAATTAATATTTAATTATCATCTAAATTTTTTGAAGGAAAAAATCGCCTTACAACCCCCCCCCCCATCTTGTGATTTTATAGTATTCATGACATTAAACACCGCCCCTACAGTTCCTAGCCCGCAAGCCTGTCCCGAGTCACAGCGCATGGCCCATTATCTTGAACTGCATCGCTCGACCGGAACAACAACAAATTATTTAAATTAAAATCGTATAACCGACAACATGCAATATACCCTGTCATTCTAATACAAATTTACTTCCAGGAGATCGTCAATATATATCCTGCTGTTAATCCTCCTCAGTTGACCGCCCACCAGTCAAACAGGGTTTGTAACGCCCTAGCCTTGCTCCAGTGTGTTGCTTCTCATCAAGAAACTAGATCTGCCTTTCTCACTGCTCATATCCCTCTCTACCTCTACCCCTTCCTGCACACTGTATCCAAGGCGAGACCGTTCGAGTATCTGAGGTTGACCAGCCTAGGGGTTATAGGGGCTCTGGTCAAGACGGATGAGCAGGAAGTTATAAACTTTCTTCTCACCACAGAGATCATTCCACTTTGTCTCAGGTCTGAACTGAAAATTCACACTTTTATAATATTTTTAAAAAAAATTGTCATTAAAAGGATTGACAGTCAATGTATGGTAGTTGAACTGAGTGAACTAGTTTCTTGACGCTATTTAAAGCTCTTTTACTGCTTCTCTGTCTGTTAGTTCGTTTGTTTCCAATAAATGTCAAACCGACAGAACCGATGGGAGCAAGGTTTTATATCAAATCACATGACCACAGGGAAGGTCTTGTGTCCGGTGGAAGTTATGTTATGTTGCCCCAAAAAAAGTCGACATTTACTTTTATGAGAAGGAAAATTGCTACTAGAAAAGGGGGGACAAAGCGCCCGTAAGTTTAGTAATGGCCGTTATTTTACTTATTTCATAACTAGTTTAATCAATTTGATTGTAGAATAATGGAAACTGGATCCGAGTTGAGTAAAACTGTTGCAACATTTATCCTACAGAAGATACTACAGGATGAGACTGGTCTATACTACATTTGCCAAACCTATGATAGGTAAGAGTTGTTTCAACTACAACTAGATAAAAATGTGAAAGATGTAGAGTTAGGATGCAAATTATTGAACTTGAATAATGAGAATAAAATCCTACAATGAAAGCCAATAAATAAATTACCATGAATGACAAAATGAATGAAATCAGAAGAAAGAATAAACAAATTAAATGAAAACCAGCCAAGCTTGTTCTTAAATAAATTAAAGAGACTGTATGCATAATTTCAAATGAACCTTTATGTAGAGTTCTCAACGCCCAATTCACAGCGGTACCTTTGAAACCTTTATCTGATTAATAATGTGGAAAACATGTTTTACTAGATTAAAAAGATTTTAATTCTGAATATTACTAAAAGTCTCTTTGTAGAGAAACAACCAATGAAAATAATTAGTTTTCAAAATTATACACATTGATATCTAATTTATTCTTTATCAGATCAAACTTTTAAGGGTACCGTTGTAAATCTGACTTTGCCATTTTGCATGGAGGGTCACTTGAAATTACGCTTACAGTTTTAAATGGAAGTTGTTAAAACCCTAGTTAGTAGCCAGAAACCACTTGGATATGGCAATGGATAAAACTTTATACAAAGTGCTTAAGATCCATTTGATTTTGATGCGCTGGAAAAAAAGGATCCGGATCCAGCTCATTTCTTTAAGATTTACTGAATTTTTGTAACAAAAAAGAATTTTCAAATTTTTGTTTTATTTTTTCGCTTATTTTTATCCTAAAACTTGATGAACCAATTAAAAAATGAGGAAATTTTTATAATCTCTCTTTTTTCAAAAGTTCAGATTTAAGTTTAGGCGTAAAAATATTTTTTTTTTGCAGTTTTTGGTTGATATTTTACCCCTTGGATCCGGATCCGTGTATCCGCATATTTTTGCGGGGATCAAGGAAGTCAAAATCTTGCGGATCCAACGGATCCGGGTCCGGATCCTAAGCACTAACTTTATATAATCTAGATTTTCGCACGTTGCCATGATTCTTGGTAAGATGGTTCTCCAGCTAGCCAAGGAACCTAGTCAGCGTCTTCTCAAGCACGTAGTTCGATGTTATCTCCGTCTCTCCGACAATACTAGAGCGTGCGAAGCACTCTGTCAGTGTTTACCAGACCAGCTCAAGGTTAAATCATTATTAGTTTATTTATTTCCTGTTTAATGTTTCTAACTCTCCTCCCCCTTATTAAGTTTAACAATTCTTATTTTTGCATGTAAATGATTTCCCAGTGGGGACAATAACACGGGTTAAATAGTTTTAAAATCTCTTCCCTCAAATTAAATTTCGAAGAAGATAATATATATAGGACATTTTTCTCTACCTTTAAAACTTTTCGCCCAAATTGACGTATTTTTCATTTTTTCTTCTTAAAAATGTCGATATTAATGGACATTTATTTACGTGTACAGTAAATACATTTGATCTCTATCCCCCGGAAGTGGATATTTGACATAAATATTTATGTTTCAGGATGATACCTTTGCTGTATGTCTGAAGGATGATAAATCTACCAAACATGGTCTGGCTCAGCTGCTCAAGAATATAGAAACTATGTCCAGCCAGGCTAACAGTATGGGAGCCAAAAATCCCCCGGTTCAGCAGAAGATCCCCCTGTAGAGCTTGTAGTCAGAGAATTCCTGGTTAACGTGATCTAGGACTGTACAAATATTGTTCCTAGTTTCTGAATTTCAAATATTCAGAACTCGTTGTAAAGAACTTCTTCAGTCAACTAGAACTAGTTTCATAGATCTTCTTCAGGGACCAAATAAATCTGAAGTTTACTTCTCTTAGGTTAAAAGACTTCAAGAATCTTTTGACAAGTTAAATAAGTTCAAAGTCTCCAAAAATGACTTGTTTAAGAGACTGCATCTTCATTTAGAAATAAAGTGATGAGAGTCGTAAATTAAAAACCAGTTTCTGGTTTTAATGAAAACATTAGTGACAAAAATAGAATCATTTTGTTGTTTGGGAGTTGGAAGTTTGTTTTCGGATTAAATAAATATCAGAATTTAAATGTTATCAACACTGTTCTGAATTCTTCTGGTTGCAGGATTTTCCTAAGTCCTAGGATTCTCTAAGTTCGACTAGCTTCAAGTTTCTATTAGCTCCAGGGTGCTCTGAGATTCTGGGATTTTCCCGGTTTCTCCTAGAAACAGGATGCTCGTGAGTTCTACGACTCTCCTGGTTTCCATATACCAGTTCCAGGATTTATCTGGTTTCAGGATTGTAGCACCAGAATCCTCTTGGTCAACGGATTTTCCGGAATCCATGATTCCGTGTCCAGAGTTTTCCTGATTCCTAGATTCTACATTTTCTAGATTTAGATGATACACAAGATAATCATGTAGTTATTTATTTTTAGATCGTTATTTTCATATTCAAGAAATGAACGTAGATTAAAATCGGCACTAATGATGAAATTAAACATTTTAAATTATTATTTTTATTAAATATTGTTTTTAAAACTTTTCCATTGTGTGCACTAGATATATGCGCCCCAAAATATTTAGTTCTCTAAATGTATTTTACATTTCATTTACGAATTCTATATTTACTCAGCTGGACTAAAAGTTGTGTAAACAGAAAAATATGTTTCCTGTCTCGGATTCAGCAATTGTGAGAAAGGACTCCCCAGCTAGATGATAAACTCAAAGCACAAAAACACTCAAGGGTGAAAATCTGTGAATTAGTAAAAAGTGAGTGAACCAAACTACAAGAGAAGATGTAAATGTACAATCATAGTTACTGTAAATACAGGCATGCTTTTATTTATGTTCTGGGTTGTGATGAACCCGGATTCGTTATTCATTTAAAATACGACGTATTAAAATATGCACTTTTTGAAATAGATAATATGTTTTGAATTTAAATTTCAGAATTACAATGGCAGTTGATTATCCCGGGTTTGCATATGGAGGAGCGGTTGCTCTAGGAGGGATAATGGGATATGTTAAGAAACGTTCTATTCCTTCCTTGGTTGCTGGAGTTGCTTTCGGGTCTCTGGCTCTTTTTGGGGCCTATTTGGTAGTGGTTGATTTATCGCCAATTCGTGACAAATAATCTCTTTCAAACTTTTTATTGAAAATTATGTAATAATGATTGAAAAAACACGAATATTCATTTATATATGTATATACAAAATGCTTCTCGCAGTTTACTCTCTAATTTAAGGTATGGAATTTAAACTAGTAAAGACTTAACAACACTGAGACATGGAATAAGATCCTACATGAAATGAAAAGGATCTCTCTTTTTGAATATAGTAGAAAAAGACTTCTCGTCTAGGGTAAAAAAGACTTCTCGTCTAATATCATAGGAAAAGGTTAGAAAAAAAATAAGAAAATACCGAGAAATGCACAAAACATGAAATGGAAAAAATTTCTCGTCTGTATGTTCTTTGGATAGTTAACCAATTTAGAATGTTTATATAGTTTATCAAATGAACCTTGAACCTGAACTGTATTTTGGTGGCTGGGGACATTAGATCTTGGCTTTAGTTGATCTATCAAAAAATCTTGAGTTCATTCAGCTCTACTTAAATACTTAATTTTTACAGTTATACAATTGGAATTGAAAGTAAGATTGATATGCTTGTGTAATTATAACGCCGATTGTATATTTATAATCAGAAAGACCTGGAATTAATTTAATTTTTGATTAATTTAATTTTACAAATATGATACATAAAACGATAATAAAAAATAGCTCTAGTCCTGCCAATTCCAAAATGTGGTTTGCCTTCGTGTGTGTTTAAAATAACCAAAGATAAAGTCGTCTGAATAACTGTCAATTTCTGTAGATAATTTAACTTCCTTAAAGTGGAGAGAATAGAAATGTGTGTTAGAGTGTTAATTTAATATAAAGATGTAGCGTGGTTAGACTATTTAGAAAAATTTCTTTTGAAAAACTTAAAATTTGATTATTTAGCGGGAATTTATTCTAACTTTTTCCACCCCCCCCCCCCTTCCGCGGTTAGGTGGTTTGGTCTCCCAAAACGGGGCAGCATATAGTTCATATATTGATGTGCTTTTAAAAACGAGAATGTAGCCATGGTAATTCTAAAGATTGGATAGTAGGTACTAAACTAAAAGATTAGAAATTATTACTGTAATAGTTATATAATGTAGCATGAGCAATCAAAATTAGAATTAGCTTAAAGAACTGAAAAAATTAAATCCAAATTATTTGCACATAAGTAATATTTGGTGATAAGCAACATTAGTATAAAATTCGCTGAGGACCCATGCATAACTTTTATGTGATTAAAATCGAAAACAAGATAAAAATGTTGATAAAATAACTAAAAACCTTTCTCGGTTCAGGTTTCTCAGGACAATAGAACAAGTTCCAGTATCCTACCTGCTCTTGGTACAGTGAACCAAACTACAAGAGAAGATGTAAATGTACTTTTAAATCATTTACCCTTGATAAATTACTAAATAATCTATTTCAGTTTATGCCCGCGGGACTGATTGCTCTCCTCTCGCTGGGAATGGTCGCTAGATACAGTGTACTAATGTACAATGCTCCTTCACAATCATAAACAGGAGTCCAGATCTGCTCATTATGGGTTGGAAGGGACGGATGTTCAGTCAAACTCTGTAGTCTGTACTCTGTAGCGGGAATTACTTGTTTTCTGTTTTGTTGTATCCCAATCAATGAAAAATGGAAAAAAAATTAGCCGTAAAAAGGGTCATGCTCAATTTATAGAAAATATTGTGATGAATATTATATTTCAAAATTTATTATTTTTATCGATTTATTCTTCTATTTTTATTTTTATTAGATGGAATGAATTTTCAGATGTCCGTGGATTATATAGGATATGTTTACGCCCTGACCATTGCTGTCGGGGGCATGATTGGGTTTCTTACTAAAGGTAAAAAACAAACAATTTTAACCATGTAAAAGTACTTCCTCCCCTCCCTCAATTCCATATGAAACTGACTTAATTTCTAAGGTTAAAGGAACTGTAAACGTAATTTCAATTGACCCTCCATTGAAAGAGTGGCATGTCCGATTCGCAATGGTATTCTTAAAGTTGTGTCTGGTCAAGTTTGAATTAGATATCCATGTTTTTTGTAATTGAAAAATAATTTTTTTTATTTGTGGGTTCTTTACTATAGTGACTAGCGCATTCCTTGCTTAATAAATGGAGAAATATCAGAATCTTACACTTTTATTGAAGCTAGAAAAGCGATGTTATCAAATACATTATCGATCAGATTCAGGTTTACAGGGTATCGTTGTGAATCGTGAATGACCCTCCTAAAATGGAGAGTCGCTAAAATTGACGATGACTGTCCTTTTAAGGTTAATACAGATTTGTACTGTTGGACAACATGTAAATAATAAATATGGATAATTTCCGGTCAAAGGTTTTAATTGGTTTGCACGTTAAACAATTATACAGTCTAGAAAAGAACTTAACAATTAATCAATTTTTACGTTGCGGTTGAAGGTCTTATCAGATCTTTAAAAAAATTCTAACATTTATTTTTGTCAATTTCAAGTATTAAAAAATGAGAAACTCCCGTTATTATTAAATCCTGAATACAGTCGATTTTTCCAGGTTCCCTGACTTCCTGTTTTATGGGACTGGGAGTAGGTTGTATCTCCGGGTTTGCAGCCTACCGGAGTTCACAGGAGGAGAAGAACTGGGGGCTCAGTCTTCTTGTCTCCGTCTGTCTCACAGCACTAATGGGATACAGATTTATCTCATCTTGGAAGGTTGATACTTTTTTTAGTAATGCATTACATTACTTGTCCTAAAAAGAATTTTAGACATTCGAATTTTATCTAAGGTTAAGTACGCATGATAATAATCCTTAGAATTGAGGGCTCGGTATTTTATCTATGTAAATTTTGTAATACTTGAAGTTTGATAGTCTTGGGTTAAATATTTAAACTTGATTTTATTTGAAGAATTTAGCTCTTTGGACAAATCTACAAAAAAAACTTTGTTGCGTACACTTGAACCAACAATATCATAGGCGCCTCAAATGTTCAAAATTTAGCGGATTTTTGGTTTTGAGCCTTTTACTTTTATGCAATTATTATTCTATTTTAGTTTATGCCATCTGGACTAGTTGCCGGGTTCTCTTTAATCATGGTTCTCAGATACGGGTATAGAGCTCTAAACCAGGAGAAGAAGAAGGACAAATAATTGATCTGATTTGAATGTAATTCAGACTAAAGCAGATCCTGAATCCCTAGATCCCATGTAGGACAAACTCATAAGATAATTTTCTAATCCTTATATCGCTGCAACCTGACGCTGTAAACTTTTAATATTTTAATCTTTGACTACTTGATCTAGTTAAATTCATAGTTTAAAATATGAACGGTCTTACTCAGACTCTAGGTTGCAAAGATAAAATACTTAGAATATGAAGAATATGTTAAGAGTAAATAGTTCTGTAATTCCAATTAATGAAGAATTGTAAAAGTAAATGTTTTGCAATATATTATGATAAAACCATTGTGATAAATTTTACCTTGTATTTATATATTATAGTTTTCATCGCAATTATATTTACGTTTAACTTTGCATTTAAAATATATCTCACCCTATTTTTGTTATTGTTTGTTTCTACAATTTGTTGTTTAATTGCTCAATATATTTGGATATAAAAGATGTATTTTTAAACAGATTGTTTTTCAGATTAATAACTAAACGATGACGTAAGTTGGTTTAGTTAGAAAGAAAGGTTGTTAAAGGAGAATCTAGTTCATCCAACCAAGAATTTTTTATTCTTACCTTTATTTGACGAATCTTCATAAATTGGGTACAATTTGAGTCCTAGTTTCTCTATGAACAGAAATGGCGAAACCTCGTGGGAAAATCTTGGTAATAAAATTATAAAAATGGATATGGCCGATTCACAACAGTACCCTGTTAACCTTCAATGTTTAATTGTTTTTCTCAGGTGACTTCCGGATTTATTCTACAGAAAGATTGAATGAAATCGACAGAATTTAACAATTTGTAAAAAATAAAAACAAGTAAACTTTTAAATTCAAGATATTTTAAGCTAAAAATGTAAAGAGTACCGTTGTGAATCGAGTATGCCGTTTTTTTTAGGGAGGGGGAGGGGGTTATTTAAACTTAAGTCGAGAGTCTCTTGAAGATTAGAAATTCTTAGAAATCGAAATTGTAACCACTGACTTAATACAAAAGCTTGCTTTATTTTTGTTTGGTTTAGAATAATCTTGATATGTAATGTTTAACAAAAATTTGAAGCGGAAATGAACTATTTAACAACAAGACATTAACTAATTTAGATGATGTTTGAGAACAGGGGTGGAATTCAAACCTTCCGCTGTACCCTTTGTCCATCGACTTTCAGTACAAAGGAGAAGTGTATTGCACACATCAGGAAAACAAACGAACAAACAAAATATTTGTATTCTGATATTTATTTAATTAAATGTTGGCATGGTTTGGTAAAGTATAGATAGCTATTTGGTTTCATTGTTTGTTTTTATCAGAGCTGTTCATCTCACAAAGGGAACCGAGTGTAAATTCTGTGGCAAATCGTACAAGAAAATACAGCAGCATATTTCTGATATACATTGTGACCTGGAGTTTAAATGTGATATGTGCAGCAAATTATTTGCATCTTCTCGGCTCTTGAAGAGACATATTGAAATGTATCATCTACGGGATGAAAATGTTGTAACTACAAGTATGGCGCGCTGTGAAGTTTGCAGAATTGGTTTAGATTATCGAAAAAGAGTTCAGCATATAGAGCTCAGCCATCTTTTACCCCCGGAGTTTAATGTACCTTGTCCTGTTTGCAAGATCAGCGTTAAGTTCCTCCCCTTCCACCTCAACAAATGTCACAAGAAGATTAACATCAAGCGGGACTTGTTCCCCTGTAGAAAATGTAGACGATACTTCCTAACCATGTCGGAGCTGAAAGCGCATGATACTAATCATGTTTCTTATTCTTGTCAAATCTGCGAACTTGTATTCCATGAGTTCCTACAACTGGGTTGGCACCTCATGCAAACCCATCACAAGGTTTTTAATCTTGGAGTTAGGAATAGAAGTAAACGGGCTGGGATACAGGAGGACTTAAACAATCTTAAACTTTTTGACTTTGATCCTGATGAACCGGATTCAGATGATGTTGATGATGAGATCCAAGATGAAGTTAATGCTGTTGAGGATGAAGATGGCGCGGAGGAGGGGCTAAAACAAGAGAATAGAAAAGATATCTCTGAGATAAAAACCTTCAGTGTTTTTGTGAACGGTATGAAAGGATTTCTTAAATATTATGATGAAAATTATTATCGTCTTGTTCAAACCTATTTCCACGGCTCGAAATTTTTAAAGATACATTTGAGTAGCATTTTATTTTATTTTAGCGTACGTAGTGGTTTAAATCATCTCCTATCTAATAGATGCGTCAAATCTTTTTCCTTCATCTAAATATTTTCGTTTTAAATATTATGCTAATTTTAGAGGACGAAATTGTGATAGAAACAACTCCTTATATGACTAGGTCTGAGGAAGAATATGTGATAAAGTCCAACCCAGATTATTATGTTCCCTCGAACCCGGTGATGGAGGACGAGGAAAATGTTAAAATATCCAGGGTTACTAATCCTTTAGAGTTGGTAAGCTCCTGTGATCAAGATGAAGTGTCCGACCCTGCACCCGGAGTAGAGTATTCATCCAATCCCAAGGAGGGGATACAACACACCACGGTTGCCGGACAGGAGTACTTCTATATTGTCGAGGCTTCTGATATGGTTCACGATGTAGTTACTGGAGTACACGAGGTAGAGGTTGATGATGTTCAGTTTGAGGAGGTTCACGAAAATCTGGAGGTGGCAGAGGATGAGGATGAGGAAAAATTGGATGAGGATGTTGAGAGTATGGATGAGGATGAGAACACAGGGAAAGATGAGGAGTTGGTGACCAAACTTAGAATTATTCTTGCTGCGGAGAAGAAGATAAATCTTAATTTCCCCTCAAGGAAGGATGTTCCTAGGTATCAATTAAAATTAACATTTAACAAATATTTCTGATTGAAACTTAAATTTGCCATCTTTTAATTATTATGAATATGATGAATTAATTCTAAAACCTTACACCAAGCTAATATATAATTTTTATGCAAAGGGGATAATTAGATTTTCAAAATGGGTATATTGACAGATTGACGGGTCAACACACCAGCTGTCCATTCACGTTTTTTATCCGAAAGTCCTTATTCGGAAATCTTTTGTAAAATGAGATTTCAATCTTTCCTCACTCCTGTATTTTATATTTGGGTTTAAAATCTTACACGTATTTTGGATGTCAATACACCTTTTCGTCTTAAATTAAGGGGTTCTTTTTTTTAAATTGAGATTTTTTCAAATAATTGTTCCAATTATATTTATAGAGACCTGAGAAATATTAAGCTTGAAGATGACGATGAAACCCTGCTCCGATCTCTAGCCCGGGATGAAGGTATAGAATTAAGTGATCTGAGCAGGTTACAGGTTTGCCCGGCTCCAGAAAACCGTGGAGATAGGGTATCTAAAAACCGGTTCAAGTTTACAAACAGCAGGCAGGCACACGTTTGTCCGTACTGCAGGGTTGTTTTAAAAACTAGATATACCCTACAGTCCCATATCAGTGTTAAGCACTTTAATAACAAACCACTGATTTGTACTCAATGCCGTAAATCATTTGCAAATAATTCGGATATAAAGAAGCACATGAAAACACACGAACCTGAGGAAATGGAGAAATGTGATGTGTGCAATAAGGATTACAGGAAGGGATATTTAGCGAGACATAAACAGTTTGCACACAGTCTGTCTGCGAATATTCCTGCAGATTGTGATATATGTGGAAAATCTTTTAAGAAAAGAGAAATTATGATGCAACACAGGCGAAGAATTCATAGATTGAACAAAGTATAATTAATTTTCTTGTTCTAAAGTATGTTTTATTATGTGTATGAAATTGTATATTTATGATGATCTAAAATAAAAAATATTACTTTTTATTTTAAAATTTTTTATCAACCTTCTCTTTTACTGTTTGTTCGGAGAGGTTTGGTGATTTCATGGTTGCAACCTTGTGTCTCAGTGTACACTAGGTTAAGTATCGACTTAACAGATCTCTGCTTTTCGCGCTAAATTTAATACTGTCCTACTCCTATAAACGGGGAAACAGAACCAGTAATATGTCAGGCCACGACGTAAAAATTACGTACAAGCTAAAGAAATAGCTGTTTTTGTATATAAAAAGCGAAAAATTTACAGGAGTTTCTAAAAATATTTGATTTCATGATTGAGAATGATAGATTTTAAAACGAATGTCATAAAAGAAGAAATAAACAATATGATCATTTGGTCTCTAAAGCTCGGTCTCCGTTTCCTGCTGTACAGCGCTGACATTGAAAAATCCTCCTTAAAGTTCAATTTTACACTCTTCTATCGTTAAATGGATTTCTTGGCCAGTCGCGATTTAAATGTTTTTGAAAAACAAATAAGAAATGTTTTAAGCATACTTTTAAGATTGAAAGTACGAAGTTACATATAATAATATAAATGATAAGTTCTTTTTGAGATAAATGTGAAATGTTAAAGTTAGTTTCTGTAGATAATATTTACAGTTTTTCAGAATATTTCTCTGATCTAAAATGTCCCTGTGGATTGATAAACATCGTCCTATTGAGTTGAATAAACTTGATTATCACCAGGATCAGGCTCAACATCTATCCAAGCTGGTCGAGGGTGGAGACTTCCCTCATTTACTGGTCTATGGACCACCCGGAGCTGGGAAAAAGGTTTGACAGAAACCAAATCATTCCTTTTACAAAACCATTTCATATCATAATTTTGTTTTCTAAGTTAAAATTGGCTGATCAATGGTTTTTGTTTTTAACAGACGACTGAAAACTATTCCATTGCATCTTGTCAAATAACTCGTAAATTGTCTTGGTTCGGAAAGTAAATGTTATTTGGCAGGATTAAACAGGAAAAAGGAATTGAACGCTTGCGCGCCTAAAATTTTTAATTTCTATTCCATATATTTTTGCGAAATGATGACGGCTTAAAGCTTAGATATTTCAAACTTTGATAATTCGATCTAGCAGAATACTTAGGTTTGAAATATCAATTTTTGACGTCAGGTGGTTCAAATCCTGAATCATCGATTCAATTCCTCATGTATCTTTGACTTTGAATCGGTGATTCAAGATTTGAACTGCTGGTAGGTAATTCAGCGACATAGTTTAAATTAATTTAATTTTGGAAAATAAAAGTAAAAGAAAATCATAGATGATGAGAGTAATCAGTTTCTTCTTTGTTCTACCAGAAAAAGATTTGTTGTATAAAACCACTTAACTATCCTAGACCCGTGTGATGTGTTTACTGAACCAGCTGTATGGACCTGGAGTTGACCGGCTCCGCCTAGAGCATCAATCCTTCTATACTCCTAGCAAGAAGAAGATTGATATCAATACTATAGCTTCAAACTATCATATAGAGGTAAAGTATCAGATGGATTAAACAATTAAAAGATTTCGTTGACACGGAACCTGGCTGACAATTACAGTTTGAGGAAATGTGATTGCAGTTCAATCTTATTCCTAGAAATATTAATATTGATCCAATCCGCTTCCTAGAAAAATTGAAATGAATTCAAAGCAGTTTCTTAGAAATATTGATATGAATCCAATCTTATTCTTAGAAATATTGATATGAATCCAATCTTATTCCTAGAAATATTGATTTGAATCCAATCTCCCTCCTTGAAATATTGGTATGAATTCAATCTACTTCCTAGAATTATTGATATGAATCTAATTTGCTTCCTAGAAATATTGATATGAATCCAATTTGATTTTTAGAAATATTGATTTGCCCCAATCTATTTCCTAGAAATAGTGATATGCCCCAATCTATTTACTAGAAATATTGATATGCCCCAAACTATTTTCTAGAAATATTGATATGCCCCAATCTATTTACTAGAAATATTGATATGCCCCAATCTATTTACTAGTAATATTGATATGCCCCAATTTATTTCCTAGAAATATTGATATGCCCCTATCTATTTACTAGAAATATTGATATGAATCCAATTTGCTTTCTAGAAATATTGATATGCCCCAATCTATTTTCTAGAAATATTGATATGCCCCAATTTATTTCCTAGAAATATTGATATGCCCCTATCTATTTACTAGAAATATTGATATGAATCCAATTTGCTTTCTAGAAATATTGATATGCCCCAATCTATTTTCTAGAAATATTGATATGCCCCAATCTATTTGCTAGAAATATTGATATGCCTCAATCTATTTACTAGAAATATTGATATTGATCCAATCTGATTTCCAGAAATATTGATATGCCCCAATCTATTTTCTAGAAATATTGATATGCCCCAATCTATTTGCTAGAAATATTGATATGCCTCAATCTATTTACTAGAAATATTGATATTGATCCAATCTGATTTCCAGAAATATTGATATGCCCCAATCTATTTTCTAGAAATATTGATATGCCCCAATCTATTTCCTAGAAATATTGATATGCCCCAATCTATTTACTAGAAATATTGATATGCCCCAATCTATTTACTAGAAATATTGATATTCAAATCAAATCAAATCAAATCAAATATATATATATCAAATATATTGATCCAATCTGATTTCTAGAATATTGATATGAATCCAATCTCTTTCCTTTAAATATTGAAATGAATTCCAATATCAATTGAATAGTTATCCTGGGACCGAATTAATAAATTTGAGCGAGGTCGCTAAACTACCTACCGCCGGTTCAAATCTTTAATCACCGATTCATAGTTGAAGATTCGCAAGGATTTGAATCGATGGTTCAGGATTTGAACCTGCGGGAGGTAGTTCAGCGACCTCTCCAATTCATTAAATTCTTCCCTTGAATCATGATAATTTCATCATCTAATTGTCATTGTCCAGGTGAATCCCAGTGATGTCGGGATCTACGACAGGATTGTGATCCAGGAGCTGATCAAGACAGTTGCATGCATGGAGCAGCTAGATACGTCCTGCCAGAAAGAGTTCAAAGTAAAACTTCTATTAATTTTATTTTGTTAGATCTGAATGAGCACAAAAAATGTAGGAAATGTTTGGGTTACACACAAAAACTTAAGCAACTAAGTATCATTATTTTTAACGACAGAATTTCTCCTAGTTTGAAGTGGTTGCTTAAGTTTATATTATCAAGTTAAATAATATGTAGGTTGTTGTCCTGAGTGAGGTTGATAAGCTCACCAAGGACGCGCAGCATGCTCTCAGGAGGACCATGGAAAAATATATGGCAACATGCAGGTTTAGAAAAACATTCTAAATCCCATTTTATGTTAAGAAAATAGCATTTTTATTTTTTGAGATTTTATTTATGATTACATCTTTATTTTACTTTCTTATTTATCATGAATATTAACAAAAACAAAAATTTTCTAGGATTATTCTTGTTACCAACTCCACCAGTAAGGTTATACCTGCAATCCGGTCTAGATGCTTATCCGTCCGTGTTCCTGCTCCAACCCATCAGGAGATAGCAACTATACTCACGGTAAACTATCAATATATTAGTTAACCTCCTCCAACCCATCAGGAGATAGCAACTATACTCACGGTAAACTATCAATATATTAGTTAACCTGTTCCATCTTATCAGGATATAGCAACTATACTCACGGTAAACTATCAATATATTAGTTAACCTGTTCCAACCCATCAGGATATAGCAACTATACTCACGGTAAACTATCAATATATTAGTTAACCTGTTCCAACCCATCAGGATATAGCAACTATACTCACGGTAAAGTAGCAATATATTTGTATACTAGCGCGGAGCATAACATTTTTTGGTGTTTTTTTCTCGCAGAATTGGGTGATCAAATCTGAAAATGCATAACCCTCTATTATTGCTAAAAAGTATTTTTTTTTCTCTTATTTTAGACTATTGCTAGTAAAGAGGAGTGTACCATGCCTCCCAAGCTTGCTGTAAGAATTGCGGAAAAGTCTGGAAGAAATCTACGAAGAGCAATTCTACTAGCAGAGGGTTGTAAGGTTCAGCAACCTCAGCTGAGCGTTGGACAGGAGATACAGGATCTAGATTGGGAGATGTATCTCAGAGAAACAGCAAACCTGATAGTTCAAGAACAGACACCCAGGAGACTTCTAGAGGTTAGAGATCATTATTGATAATAGTTTCAATATTATTGAATTTCCTTATCCTAAAGGTTTTAAGATGCAGTTTTTTTCCCAGGATTGATGGGGGACTGTTTTATTTATTTATGCAATGCACACAGCACAGTCAGACAAAAATCACATATATAAATGAAATTTGATTTAAGAACATTTTAAGATTCAAAATACATTTGCATTTTGCACAGTTATATAAAATAAGATATGTTTTAACTTCCGAAAATGTTTTTAAAATCTTTTTTTCTAGGTTCGGACAAGGTTATACGAACTGCTAAGTCATTGTATCCCTGCTGAAATTATATTTGTTGGATTGCTCAAGGAACTGATCAAGAACTGTGATGGAGAACTGAAGAACGAGGTGACCCACTGGGCGGCTTTCTACGAGCACAGGATGAATAAGGGCAGCAAGCAGATCTATCACCTCGAGGCGTTTGTTGCGAAGTTTATGTCAATACATCTCAAGTTTATGGAGGAGGCGCTCGGAGGGTTCTAGAGAAGGGAAGATATGGAGAGCGGAGGAAGACAAAACCAGATATTTTTATACTTTTAACTTTTCAGATGCCACCCTCCTCACAATGTCAAAGAATAGTTCTGTTAGCCTGCGGATCCTTCAATCCTCCAACGATTATGCATCTAAGGATGTTTGAGTTGGCACGGGATTATTTCCGTAAAGAATATCCTACCTCTATTGTTGTTGGAGGAGTTATCTCTCCAACTCATGACTCCTATCAGAAGAAGAGTTTGATCCACTCCTCCCATAGGTTGGAGATGTCCCGGAGATCAACTATTTGCAGTTCCTGGATTAAGGTTTCAGACTGGGAAGCCAGGTAGAGAAAATAATTAGGATAAAAAAGACTATAAACAAACATACATATATATGTAAAAAAGACGACTTGTTTTTACAAAATAGTGTTTTATATTCATTACAGTATTGGTCTTGTGATTAATCATTTTTTATTTATTTCTATCTTACTTAAGGCAGAATGAATGGACCAGGACAAGAATGGTAATGGATAATTACTCCGACATTGTCCAAACCTCATCCGTAGATTGGCTTCCAACACCCGGATCCTCAGACCAAGGTACATCAAACATATTAAATTTCTCAATAATTATAAACTCATCCCGTTTACTCCAGGTCCTATAATCTTGAAGTTGTTGTGTGGAGCTGATCTCCTGGAGAGTTTTAGTGTACCTGGACTATGGAAAACTGATGATATTCTCCGAATAGTTCAGGACTACGGTATTGTCGTCATTACTAGAGAAGGTTCTAATCCAGAGGAATATATTCAGAACTCGTCTACGCTCCGGGAACTGGCAGAACATATTCATATCGTCCAAGATTGGATTTCAAATGACGGTAAGAATGAAAAAGTAAGAAATATACTGATTATTTATATCGTAGCTGAAAAACTTGACAAAAAAGGTTAAAAAATTACACCGAAAATAATTTAACTAATTTAACATTTGATATTGTGGTTTAAACAATTTTGATAGATCGGTTTAGTGGTTAATCTTTTAAGCCACGATAGTTACTGTCGTTGTACTTTCAGGTGACATAGTATAAAGTGCTTTTTCCGATTTACAACGGTAACCTTAAAACCTTTATCTGATTAATAACTTGGAAGATATCTTCGTTTTTCAATCCTGAAAAGTGTTTGGTTTTAATTATTTCTCTTTTGTTCATGAATTTTAAGACCTGAAAGTGGTTCACCGACATACGGGTCAAACGACTCAGGGTCAAACGCGAAACGGTCAAAAACGCTACAAAGGGTCAAAATGGTAAAAAATATTATGTATTATTTCAGTGTTAGGTTAGGTTTCTGGGCCGAGCGCTGCGGCTAATAGTGTAAATGAAAACATATCATAAAAGCATGTATTATTTCAAGGTTAGGTCAGTTAAGAAAATTTCTGGGCCGAGTGCTGCGGCTAGTAGTTTAAATGAAAACATATAAAAATATGTATTATTTAGGGTTAGGTTAGGTTAAGACAATTTTTGGGCCGACGCTGGGAGAGCGCTAAATGAACATAAAAATAGTTCAAATTAACAAAAAATATTCTAAATGAAATTTTGCCCGTTTGTGTCGCACTTTTTGACCCCATGTCGTTTTACCGTGTCGCGTTTTTGAGCGTTTGTCGTTTGACCCTATGGCATTTGACCCTAAGGCATTTGACCCTAGGTCGTTTGACCCTATGTCGGTGAATCTTTTTGCCCTAAAGGTTTATAGGGTTTCATTGTGTTTCGGACATGACACTCAATACATGATGGGTCACTTAAAATTACGTTTATAGTTCCTTTAATAATAAAGAAAATAAATTGTTATCATTGTTTCAGTGAGTTCAACAAAAATACGTGAAGCTGTCGGTCGCGGAGATTCAATAAAATATCTTGTTCCTGATCCTGTTATACAATACATCCAGGAGCAGAACCTGTACCTCTAGTCCGCACAATACATTCTTGTAGTCATTTGTCTTATATGTAATATATTTAGTTGTAGAGATAATTAAAATCTCTTGCAGAGTATTATTGTTATTGTAATATTAGAAAACACTATGCACACTGTGATATTTCAGATCTAATATGATTAAACCATTATCAAACTCTATCAGAGGAACATAGGGATGATAATCAAGGTACAAAATAAATATAACAAAACTTAGTTATCTACATAATAAAACAATACTTATATGTTCCCTCTGGCCGCAAAACGGCTGGACCGAATGGGCTGATTTTTTTAGGGAACCCATGGGTGCCCCGGGGGGTGACATAGACTAGAAAAAATTCGATTTTTTTTTCAAAATTTCGAAATGGTTTTTTTCAAAAATATAATGTTTTTTATTCAAAATTCAAATTGTTTTTTTCAAAAATCGAAATTTTTACTTCAAAAAACTGGAATTATTATTTATTTAACTTGATTTTAAAAAAATCACGGGCAACGCCGGGCTCTTCAGCTAGTTATTATTATTATTATATAATGATCGTTAAAGATCCCCGATGTGGTGTAAATATTTCATATATTGCTTTCCTAAAATTCCAAAGAAATTTTGACTCTTCATTCGTAATTCCTTTAAAAGTGAATGTTATCGTCCTGATATTCTTATTGTTAAAGGGACTGTTATCATAATTTCAAGTGACCTTCCATTTCAAAGAGGGACTAGCCCGAATCAAAGCAGTACGTTTTAAACCGTCCTTTGTGCAGCAAAGACAAGAAGGCAATTGTCAGAATTTAAGACTTACAGATAGAAAAACGACGATATCTTTCTTTGTGAATTCGGCATCCAATTCTTTTTTAAAAAGCGGGGGGGGGGGGGGGGTTTGTTTCCCGTTGACAGTCCCTTTAAGATGGTTGAGCTGTGGGATGAGTTTGAGCACGCTGAGAAGAACCTTGTTTATTCTGCAGTTAATCTACCTGGACCCGGATACAGGAAACATTATACAGTATTCTAGATCCTTCTCAAATACAATTATTTGCTTTGTTTATTTTTAAATCCACTTTATTGAATTAATTGATTTGGTAACATGGATGTATATTTTCTCGAAAAAATTCCCCGGCAACTCCCTTGAAAAATTCTTTATCCCTAGAAGTTAGTTATTTTTTTAAGGGTTTTATTCGCCGAATTGGGGGAAATATATGATTTTCAAGGAAAATTGTTTAGATTTTTGGGTAAAAATAATGAAAAGGCTTGTCTTTTAATGTCCAATTTTTCATCTTTACCTATGTGTCCAGAATTGAGATCTGTGTAGAAATTATTAAAAACTTGAACTGATGTTGAGGATAATGTTTCAAATAGAGAGGAAGAGTTTCAACCTATTCTGAACTGTTGTGACTGCACAACGGATTGTTCAACTTCCTGCTCTCATCTGGTAAGTTCAAACTTAATTCCCAGGTTCAGGTTCAGGTTCAATTTCAAGTTTAGGTCTATGTCTAGTTTGAGTTTCAAAGTTTTTTTTAGAGATCTTTCGTATTTTAATAAACTATTGAGTGAAAAATTAATTTATGTCCAGTTCCAGGTTAAGTTAATGTCTAGAGCCAAGGGTTAGGTCCGACTCCGTGACCAGATTTAGGTCTAGGACGTGTTCAGGTTCAGGTTCAGGGCCAATTCCAGTTTCAAGTTCCGGTCCTGGTCCATTTCTAGTTTGGATTTCAAAGTTTTTTTTTTACGGATTTTCCGTATTTTGATAGATTACTGTCTGAAAAATGTATCTACTCATTATTTGTTTAACTAAGGTCCAGTATGGGAAAAATTACTCAATGGGATTGATGTTGAAGAGCAGCGTAAACCAACCGATCTTTGAATGCAATGCGAGGTGCTCTTGCGACCCCTCCAGGTGCTACAACAGGGTTGTGCAGTTCGGACCCAACCGTAACCTCAAGATTATTCAAACCGAGTCCAAGGGGTTCGGAGTCATTTGCAAAACTAAACTACGGAGTGGAGAATATGTTTGCGAGTATGCAGGAGAAATTATCGGTGAGTTTACATTTTCAATTTTATATTAATCCTTCTTAGCTTTGAGAAGGTGTGGGGGGACATGTTGCATTCTTTATTCAAGGGTTCTTACGTAAGATTTTAAGTCAAAATTAAGAAGTTTTCTGATTTAAATTGTCAAGTCAAAATTATATTTTTTAAAAAGCATGGTCAAATTTGGTGGAATGTTCGTAGATGAGAAAACAGCTCGAATCAGGTTCTCTGCTGATGCGGACGCGTCTAACTATATTTTGGTGCTCAAGGAGTTCGGGGGAGCAGAGATCGTTAGCACAACTATCGTTGATCCGACAGGTCCAATTAATTCACTATCTTGAAAATACAAGAGGAGATATTTTTTAATCATAATTCTTCTTATTTTCGTTATTTTTCATCAAGTCTTTTAACATTCAAATTAATCGAATATTTCTGGGATTACTGCTTAAATTTACTTTAATAAGAAAATAAAGCAAAAACTGAGGAAGACTTATCAGAAAGGGGTAAATACAGCTTGTAAAGTCATAAAACTTTTTTTGTAAGTTTGACAATGATTTTGTTTTATAGCAATTGGAAACATTGGTCGGTATCTGAACCATTCCTGCAGACCCAACCTGGAGATGGTTCCTGTCAGGATAGATTCTGCAGTTCCACATCTAGCGCTCTTTGCGTCAAAAGATATTATACAGGTTAATACAATAATTACGAATCTGAGGGAAGGGGGTGGAGGTTGCCTTATACAGGAAGATATCTAACAATCAGTGAAATTATATCGGCAGTTGTGAATTAGATAATATGAATATTTGAATGATTTAATTAAAGAGATTTTGTCATGATAACTAGTTTTTGCCGGTTCCGATTTGTGTCAGGATCAGTCCCATAGAAACTGTGTGTAAAAATTAGTTCTTTAGAAACTGAGTTGGGATAAATTTCGTAGAAATTTTGTGTTATTAAAACTCCCGTAGAAACTGTGTTTAGAATCAGTCCTGAAGAAACTGTATTGTGTGCTAGGATCAGTCTCATAAAACCTGTTAGAATTATTTTTTTGTTTTCAGGGCGAGGAGTTATGTTTTGATTACGGGGATACGACACGATCCGGAAAACTAGGTCTAGCAGAACCTGGAGTAGAACTAGATAAACAGGACTTGACGCGACCTAGAGGAGAGAACCTTCCGATTACCAAACCTGTAGCAAGGAACCAATCCTCCTCTGAATCCGACACAAACTTGTCGGATTCATGTGCGGGACCTTCAAGCTTGATTAAACCTGGGTTTGTGAAATCCGTGTTAAAGGTACCTCGAGTACCAGTTCTAGATAAACCTGGAACTAGGAAACTTCACCCAGAGAAGACAAAGAAAGAGGAGTCCTCAGTAGAAATACTGAACAAGAAACCAGTCTCTCCCAACATTGAGACGGAAAATGCAAAATCTGTGATAGAAGACGCGAGTGCAGCGGAAGATGCCGAGGAATCAACTTTAATATACAAAAGATCTAAATGTTTATGTAATGCTAAAAATTGTAAAAAGTGGTTACCATTTAACAGAGAATTGTTCTTGTAATTTTTTATCTTAATACTCTGCAGATATTTTCGTTGAATAAATTTGTCCTAACTATTATACAATAGGGGAGTTCTTATTTCATATAATGTCATTTATTTCTTAAAAGTTAAAAATTGTAGGATAAAAATACGATTTTAAAATTAAGTTTGACTTCAAATAGTCCATTGATCATTAAACACAGCAGTTTTACATAATACGTTAAGTGCAACTGGTAAACCGATGTTTTCTAACCTTTCCCCGGCTTTGATACACATATTGTTCAAACGCAGTTTTCTATTCCACAGCTCTATACGTCACACTTCGTAGTTTTTAGATAGTCAAAAATATTTGAGTAAAGGGAGATGGGTCAGATTACAAATTTTTCACGGCTTAAAATGGTTTGTGCTCACAAACAAAATGAGATTCAAATTTCATAATAGTTAACAAATTTAGCAGTCTTTTTACCTTTAATATGATGCATCCATTTACTCGTGCTAACGGTCACCAGTTTTTATTTTATAGGAGAATTCAATACAAGTAATTGAGACCCCGAAGTCTGCAGTCCAAAAATGTACAAATAAAATTTTAGTCCTCATGACATAACTAGTTTTATTTAATGTTTATTCTCCTTCACTCCTCGCTCAGATTTTAGTTTTGGTCTCTACGTTCTCAATTAAACTCGTCAAATATAAACAAAACGGATTTTTATTCTAAATTTTTATGAATTGTTTGAAAAAATGTAAAATAGTTTGTTCAAGATTCAAGAAATGTTGTCTCCGAAAGTTACGATAGGTTTTCTGTGTGTGATTGGTTCCACACCATTGATCTCATCGCTCTCGTCCGTTCTAAAATATAAAAGACTTAATTTGGTACAGAGTGTCCCACGAAACATGACAGTAGTAAGACGAATCAAAGGTCGTCTTTGATCTTGTAAAAATATGGCATTTATTCGTAAACCTAATTTTAGAAGTAAAATTTTAGATTTAATAAGAACAAAATACCATTTATCTCGGCTTTTCCAAAATGTGGTCTGCCTTTTACTTGTGCTTGCAATATTACCGGAGATATGAAGAATTTCGTTCAGATTTCGACAATTTTATTTTTATTTAATAAAAGTGAAATTTGAACGAAATTCTTAATATCTCCGGAAATATTGACAGCACAAAAAAGGTAAGACTACATTTTGGAAATGCCAGGACTAGAAGAAATTAGAGTGGCGACTATATGTCACAAATAAATTCAAAACTCTAAGACGACTTTCAAGTCGTCTTGCTACTGTCATGTTTCGTGGGACACCCTGTAGTTCCAAATAAATGCATATCCATAGTTTTACAGGGGCATATTTGGAAGAATTGCCACCAGAAAATCCGGGAGAAATTAAACATTAAGTGTATTCACCCCTTTCGCCTAAAACTTTCTATATAAAACTTTCTATATGAAATGTCAAAGAGTACTTAAATTGCATGTAAACCGTTTAGAAGACTCGTAATTTCAAGTGATATTAATTTTTATAGGTATGGCCGATAAAAACGGTTCCCTTTTAACCTTTAACAGATCAATAATGTGGGAAAAAACGTCGTTTTTCTAGCTTAAGTGTTCGATTCTGACAATTTCCTTCATATTTTATCTGAAGTAGAAATGTGCAAGATACTTTACAGAAAACTTACGATTAAATATACCCTACTAACTCAAAACTCTAAAAATACAAAAGCCTCTATATAGGTAAACGTATTTTTAGGTATATTTACGTAAAATTCGTATGCTCAACTTTTTAGTAAAGAACTTGCGGATATTTACGTATTTAACATACCAAGCGATATGTTCTTAAGTGCTAAGGTTTTCCAGAAACGTATTTTAAAGAATAATTGTGAATACTTTTTACCAAGTAATTTTTATTAGTCTTGAGGTTTTTATTTTACGTATTTTTTCTTTACTTAAAAAATTTCATACTACGCAAGTAATTTTACGTTTTTTTTACATGTTTTTTGTTTTTTTCTTTCTTTACTAAATAATTGCATTTTTTAGAATTAAAAGTTTGATGCAAACCTTTCGTATTTTTACGGATGAAAAATACGTATTTTTACCTAGGAAATGGTTACAAAAATACGTATTTTGAAGTATTTCAAATCTAAAAATAAGTATATATATATATATGAATGTCATACATATTTCTAAGTTTTCCGGTTAGTAGGGTAATCTACTTTCAAAGAGAAGATGATTAATATCTATGTGCATTCATGATCAGACAAAGCTAACAAGGATATCAATGTGATCGAATACGAGCTTGCAGCTATTGTTGGATGTGATTTGATGTCTCAACATGAAGTTGTAAAAGAAAATCAACCATCTTCAGAATCCTGACTTCAAGCAGATGGTATTCTGCGACGAGAAACTGTCCAAGATTATTCCCATCAAGGAATTCTAGGGGGTTGCAATGACGAAGGACTTGAAGAACCATATTAACGTTAAATAATCATCTTCTCTTTGATAGTAGATTACCCTACTAACCGGAAAACCTAGAAATACGTATTACATTTGTATAAATACGTATTTTTAGATTTGAAATACTTAAACATACGTATTTTCGTAACCTATCAGACAAAGCTTACAAGGATATCGATGTGAACGAATATGCTATTCTATAAATTTAGTGTTCTTGACTTTAAATCCCTTTAAAAATCATTTTTAAACCGTATTTCCCATGTTGTCCTACAAAACGGTTAAAAATGAGCTAGATAGAACAAATTATTATTGTTTACCTAGGTTTACTAACGAGAAGAGATGTTTTCAGATCTTGCAAGGATTGATCGCTTAGACTCACAAGATCAGAAAACGGAGATCTTCCAAGAGAGTTTGGGGATCTTCCAAGGGAACTCGGGGATTTGGGCGATCTTGGACTTTTAGCCATGGATCGTTCTGATTTTGCTCTATGATGTCCTGGTATAGGTCGGGCAGGTGTAGAGCTTCCTGTTTGTGCCTGCTCCCAACAATATTCGAAATTACTCTCGTTCTCCTTCCCGTACTGTTCTCCTCTAAACCCTCCCTTCAACTCCTGGTCCTTCTGGTAGTTGTTGATCTGGGACAGGAGCTCGGATTCAGAACCTTCGTTCAGGTTGAGACCTGTTATCTTGTTGAAGAGTTCAGTAGGAGAGAGTACGTCAGGAACACCCCACCTGTTAAAAAACTTAAGCCGAGAATTAGAATATTCACTTTTTATAGTCAAGTTATTCATCTACAGACACTAACTTCGGAGAGATCGAAAGAATTTATAGATTGTCGACTTGACAATTTTTAAATGGGTTTACTATTTTACCTAAATCTCAGTCAAAGGCGCAACTAGGGGGGGGGGCCGGGCGCCCTCCATAGCACCTGAGAGGGGGGCCCACCCCCCACCCCCTGCAGAATGAAAAGAAAGATCGGCAAATATCATTATCACAAGAGTCAGGAATAATAAAACCAAAAGAGTTATTGTAGAAATTGTATTCTACTATGGTTAGTTGGTTTACACCACTCGGTGTAAGGAGTTAGGGATTAGAATATTTGAGTTTGTCGCAAAAACTTCCAAATCTAGAGAACAGTCTGAGACTGAACCTTGCTATCATATTTGATAACTGTTAACTGTTCTTTGAAAGAACTTCTATAAAATCGAAAATGAAATAAGATTATGAATGTTGGTTAGAATGATCGATCTTAAATTCAATAACTTCAATAGAAAACGTAACATTATCTGTCCTTTTTCGATGTAGATGATTAAAATTATATATGCATTTTGATGTGGTTTTTTTTCAGAATATATAAATGATTATTTCTTGTACTTATATCTGTAATTAAGAATTGATTGAATCATATCGTTAATTTTACAGTTGTTGAAAGTATAAACTTTTAAAAACACAAGAAAAAAATGATTTGAATTGTACGAACACAGCCAAATCTGCATGCAACAACTGAAAATTTCCTTTTTTCGACATCAAACCCTTAAACAAGCACTTTTATTTCTAAAATATTTTCTCACGAAGAGCAAGCCCCCCCCCCCCCATAGCAAAAGTGCTAGTTGCGCCTTTGATTCTCAGTAATTGAAAAAAAATAGCCATAAAATATGCAGGAACATTTTAAAGAGCTCCATATAATTATTCAATTGAAAAAAACTAAATACCTGCTCCATATTATCAGTAATTTAAAAAACGACATTTATAAATTGTTTCGATGTGTCCGAGGTTAAACTGTAGAAAATGAGAAAACAAATCTTACATTTGAGACGTTAGTGCAGTCTCTGAAGAGAAATGCGAGTCCACTGGGATGGATTGGTTCAACGGCCTGACTCACATCAATAAACCAACATTCTCCGTCGTACCACAGGATATTGTACTCAGAGAGGTCAGCGTGTACAAGATGACAGATATTGTACAGTTCAATCTGGAATTCAATTAAATGTATGTCTTGCGGTTCAAATCAATAAATGTAGGAAACAAGCTTAGCTATTTTTCCATAATTTCTTGATAAAAAAAACTGAAGTTTATTATTATAAATTAAAAGGTTTACCATCATCTCCTCAACTTGTTTATAAGCAGTCTCCACTTGAGACTTGGACATCTTTTCCACAGCAAACTTTAGTTTAGGAGCTGGTTGTCCATCCCGTCCTATGAAGGACATTACAAGGACATGCTTCTTTAGGACAACCACGTCCGGAACCCTGAACAGGAAAAAATTGTATCAAGATGCTCCCACAAACTCTAATTTCTTGAACATTAAGCGATAGAAGACATGAAATACTTTGTTCTTTTTTAAAGATATCAATAGAAAGCAAAGAAAGCAAGGTGTACAATCAGATATGGTACATTTAGTTTATTTAAAGCATTAGCTATTTTTCCAAAAAGATCCTACCTGATTCCTCCTTTAGCCATTTTTGTTAGATTATGTAATTCCTTCTCCGCCCACATATGGATAATCTTCCTAGGATTCTGCTTCCCAAACCTATCCTTGAACCTGTAATCATCCCGGATATATTTGTCCCGGGTCTTGAACTCGTTCAGGGTGGTTTTAAAAACCTTCACTGCGCATTCTTTAGGAACATTGAAGGGAGTTTCTGGACCTTCTTCGGGTCCAGGACCACCGTCAGCGTGCATGATAACCGCCTCTTTTCCGGTAGATATTACACCATTCACGGCATCTAGTATACCACCGTTCACAAGTTTGAACAAGAGAACACGGGTTTTGGGATCTACTGCTTGCTCTGCAACCGCTCTTTCCTCCTTATCCTGAATTCGGTTCTTCCGTTTTCCTTCCTTCACGGAGAAATTTCGGATTTTATTATAAACCTTGTTGGAAAGCTGCATGTCAAACCCTCCCCCATCTCCCGTATGTATCCCAGGAGGAAACTCCATAATCCTCTTCGCATTCTCTCTCTGGGTCATCTCAGTATCATGCTTTGTAATCATCTTCTCTCCTAGTTTCTTGTATCCGCATCTAGGCATAGCTCCAACCTCCTTCTCTTTAGTCTCAAATACGTCCCAGTCTCGTTTACGATCATCCTGACATAAATATCTTAACTCTCATAAAAAGTAAAAAGTGTAACTGTGCAAAATTCAAGCTATCTTTGAAGAAGTTAGATTTTACAATGGAATACTTCAAATTGGCACTAAAACTATTCGGCAAAAGTTAAAAATCTAATTTTAAAAAACGAGTTCCTCAATAAAAACAATATTTTTTGGGGGTATCAAGTTAATAAATTTATAGGTTGGGAAAGGAAGTTAAACAAACAAAATTAACGAACCTGATTTAGATATTCATCATCTTCATCGTCTTCGCTATCATCCCAAATAATATTCTCTGGAACCATCCTGTACTTCGAGTAGGTTACTCGAACCTTAGAAGTTCCGTTAACGTGAGCTTCTTCCTAAATAATCATTGATATTTCAATCTGAACGCTGCTCCCGTTTGTTTATACTCAAATCATAATTTCTACACATTTCAGACGAAATTTCTCCTGGAATAATCTGTTCTGCAACTAGTGTATACCCTTGCCTAGAACTACTCTAGAAATAAATCAATCGGAACCGTCCTCCTGTTCTAAGCAACTTTAGAGCTAAATCCCCATGTTTCAACCTGAACCCTCCTCCTGTTCTAAGCAACTTTAGAGCTAAATCCCCATGTTTCAACCTGAACCCTCCTCCTGTTCAAACCTACACTAGAGCTGAATCACCCATTTCAACCTGAACCCTCCACCTGTTCTAAGTAACTCTAGAGCTAAATCCTCATGTTTCAACCTGAACCCTTCTCCTGTTCAAAGTAAGAGCTGAATCCCTCGGTTTCTATTTACGTACTCATGTACCTTTAAGTATATTCACAGATGTACAATCCCATTCTTGTTTGACTTTATTTGGTATATCTATATATAACCCTATATTCTTTTTGTGACCAGATCTGATCAATATATACTTCTTTAATTTGCAACCACATCGATTCTTAGAGAGAGACCTCCTCATGTTCTAACCTACCTACACTAGAGATGAATCACCCTCTTCAACCTGAACGCTCCTCCTGTTTTAACCCACACTAGCTAAATCCCACACTTCAACCAAAACCCTCCTCCTGATCTAAGTAACTCTAGAGCTAAATCCCCCTGTTTCAACTTGAACCCTCCCCCTGTTCTAAGTCACTCTAAAGCTGAATCCCTTGTTTTAACCTAAACCCTGCTACTGTTTTAACCTACACTAGAGCTGAATCACCCTTTTCAATCTGAACCCTCTTCCTTTTCTCACCTGTTGTAAAGCTGAATCAAACTCTCTATCATATTGTTTCTGAAGCATCTGCGCGATCAAAAAATCATCTGCATCAGTACTCAGCTCTGCTGGAGCAGATTTAATAAGTGGATTCTCCAGGTTGTCTGAAGATAATACTCCGAGTTCCAACTTGTTTAAATGTTCAGCTAATTCTTCAGACATTACTTCAGTTAAAGAAACGCTACTCACGGTTTCTACAGCTCCCCAACTGAACTTTTTAGCTTCACCGTTCATCCTGAAAAGTGAATTTTAATCATTTTTTGTCCTAATTGAGCCGGTGTTCAAAATTCAATTTTAAATTCGTACCTGTAAAATTTGAAGTGCAGTTAACGTAAAAAATCTGAATGAATTTTCTGAAAAATTATATTAGAGGTATGGATAATGGGTATATACTTTATATTACTCTCAATACCAATTTCCAAGTGTGCATTTCTAGTTTTCCTGTACGCCTTTGGGTTAATCATTTAGAATAATGAAAAATTTGTTTTATGTTCTTTGAGTTCTTTAGTTTTATCAAATTGTACTTCAGGCGACCAATTGTAAAAAAAATTAACCACGTATATGCTCTATAAACTTGTCATAAGACAGTTTCTTAGCTATTTAACCACATTTTAAGACTCTTCCGATATTCGTAATCAGATTGTTTTTATCACCTTGGTATTGCACAATATGTGTACATTTTTGGCCTGTATTGGAGTCTTGAAACTTGAAAACTGGCTTGACTAGTTTCTGCATGCTGGACGCGCTTTCTAACATTAGTCAAGTTTATTTATAAATCCGTCTGTACTCTGTAGTACTGTTCTCTTGCTGGAATTCTAAATTTGGTTCATAATTTTTCTTCAAAAAGTGAAATTGTCCATATTTATTACCATAATGATGTTTAAGAACTTAGTTCTCCATTGTATACTGATCACAGCGTTTGTATCAATATTTATTAATGAATTTGATATTTGATATAACACGTAGAACTGTGAATTACAGTAACATGAAGTGACATACCATAAGTAGTAGGGGTCTGTCCCAGAGAACGATTTTTGGACCCCCTCCCCCTCCTATCAATTTTTTACTTGACCTTTTCGACAATTTTCAACAAAATTAGTATATATTAAGGGTTAGGTAAGGTTAACACACTCTTTTGTGTCGTGCGCTGCGGCAAGGACATTCTAGGGACTGAGCGCTGCTGCTAGGGCAGTCTAGGGGGCCGAGCGCTGCAGCTAGGACAGGCTAGGTGCTGAGCACTGCGACTAGGACAGGCTTGGGTGCCGGACGCTGCGGCCTCATGACCAACTTGAGCCTTGTGTTAAATATGAGATGCATGCATGTACTAAATTATTAGGAGTGGGGGGGAGGGGTTCTCAAGGAAATTACCAATAGTTGGCCCTTGGTAAACCTCTATAATGGAATTAACTACTTCCTTCTTACTACCCATTGGCGAACGATGAAGATTTTAACCAGTTCATGTTTACAAGCCATCTTTCAGTGATGTTCACTAACCTTTGTTCATTCTTTTTCAGCTGAATTACCTAAACATTCTTTTTAATTTGACCGACTTAATTTTTTCAGATTGACATAATCCTGGGTAAAGATGAATCAGGCCGAGGTTGGGAAATTGATTTCTCAAATGAGGTTCAAGGTACAACCCAAACCCTGGTTACTGGTCTCCAAGGAGTCATTGAATCGAGGGATGAGAGGACAGCTCCTCGCCACCAGGAAGTCCGTGACGGCCCTCATCAAAGACGAGAGGGTGGAGTTCACATACGGTCGAGGAGTTGTTGCCCGGGAGTATACAGAGAGATTACTCCAGGAAGCTGTTGCACACGGAGATAAACACATTCCAACCATGGACCTGGCGAGCTGGTGGCTCACGGATAAATCATTAGTTCATAAATTGTTTAAGGTTTTGGTTCCAAGGTTCCAGGATATGTCCTGCTCCTATACCAGGATGCTCAAGGCTCCGATGGTCTATAAACCGGAAGGTGGTCCCATCGAGGGGAAAGATAGAGTTGTCCTGGAGCTCCGAGGAAACCCGTTCCCTCCTCTTTTTTACAGTAATACTGAACCTAACCGGGCTCATATTCACAATGTTCTGCTCAACGAGGCGAGACGAGAAGCGAGATTACAAAAAGAATATAATTTAAACCAAGGAGCTAAATAAACATCATGATAAACCTAAATAATTATGCATTTCTATTTCAGATCCCCATGGAGGGGGAGACATCAGAGCTGGATAATCTAGATTCCGAGCTCGTCATGTCTTTCTACGACCAGTACCATGCTGATGACATGAGCAAGGTATACGGGGACATCTCGAGTAGAGAGGAAGACACTGGAGTTCTAGATCTCAAGAACAATTTAGCTCTTTCATTAATACCAGATGTTACTCCACAAACATCTCAGGTTCGCAACAATATTTGGGCAAATATTTTGATTTCGACCAGCAATAAACCTACTATTGGGTCATAAGAATTGCCACAAAAAATTGGGGCCCGATCAGTACAGCTGTTTTGTCGGTTATTGGACTCAAACAAACATACAACCAGACAACCAATATATATTTATGTATATTAAACTGGGTCAAAACATTCACCAAATAGTTAACCATATGAAATAAGTAACCCCCAGAATATTGTAAATACACCATTTAATGTACTTAAATATTGCGAACTTTCAATAGCTTTTCCAAAAATATTGCTTTCATTGGACTTCAGGCAGCAGTTTTCACGGTGGTGCATTGAACCCTTAGTCTGGGATTTCATCTTGGGTTTCCTATCAGACTTAAACTTGATTTATTTGATATAATATAACTGTGAAGGTATGGAACCTGCCAGATCTGCTGGTGGGTCTGGACGGGTTGCAGCGACTTCAGTCTGTCTCCGAACCGACTCCTGTCTGCTCCTCCTCCTCCAACCAACTCTCTTCTCTTTCTATCATTCCCTCCAGTTCATCGATCCTTCAACAAACCAACTCTAACATTCTCAACAACTCTTCTTTAGAGCTTTCCAAGGTACATATATCAAGTTTCTAAAATGGCTAAATTATAAATAATATTTTGTTTTGTTTTCAGTCTTACCAAAGTGACCTCAGACCTTTTATATTTGATAATTTCCGGCACTGTACTGATTCATTATTGGAAGGTAAGTTTACATATTAAAGAAAACACGTATTAAGTTAATAAGTTAGTTACTTATTTACAAGAAATGTATACGGATTAGGGCCTTCATCCAAAAAACTGAGCTTTTTGGACAGGAGGGTTAATAGAAATAATCAAGCCCCGTTGCCCCGTTTATAAGATTAGATATAGTTTATTGTAAAAAAAAAACACATACAATTCCAGGTAAAAAATCTGCAACTATTTTTATATAGTTTATGTATGTATTATATCAATTAGGATGAGATTATCTTTCGCTGTTTTTGGTATTATCCCCACCTAATTAACATTAAAAAGTTTACAATATGATGAATATTACCAAGTTTTGAAAGTTATTGTATTGTAAATGTATAGTATTGTTAATGTATTGTATTGTAAATGTATTGTATTGTAAATGTATTGTATTGTAAATGTATTGTATTGTAAATGTATTGTATTGTAAATGTATTGTATTTAAATGTATTGTATTGTAAATGTATTGTAAATGTATTGTAAATGTATTTATTGTATTGTAAATATATTGTATTGTAGATGTATTGTGTTGTAAATGTTTTGTAAATATCCATAATTTGGAGGACGGACGAATTTGAAGTTAGCATGTAAAACTTAAACCTCTTTATAAAATTTCTCCAAAATTATCCTTGTATCTTCTTTTCGAAAATAAATTTTGTTTTCTTTTACAGGGTTGGGTATACTTCCTCCGAGTGTTCAAACACCAGTGAAGAGTGAACCCTGTCTCTCCAATTCTTACAATGGATTAGACAACCTGGAGCTAGAGATCACTCCCTTCGAGCTTAATCTCAAATCCGAACCTGGTTTGAACCCTATTGTCAATATCTCAAGTATCTCTAGTATCTCAAACCTGTCAAATATCTCGTGTAGTTCCAGCATATCTAGTATCTCTAATCTCTCCAACTATTCTAATATCTCCGGGTTGGATATTATCAGTAGCTCTAGGTGTGAATCTCCCCTTGGTGTTGATCCTCTGATTGCTCAGCACTGCACCCTTCTACCTCCTGAATTAGTTTCAGAGCAAGGAATTCTTCTCCCTGGCCTTAGAACCGCTAATTTTGTAGCGACAGGTGAAAAATTTACTAAAATATATCACGTTTTCTACGAGAGGCCATTTCCAACATTTCAAAAAAATATGGCTTCTAAGAACAAACTTCAATATTTGTTTTCTAAAATTTAAAAAAAGAAAAAGTGTAACTAAAAAAATGAATTTTTGTTTCTTAGTAACTAAACAACTTAACAATCTCAATGTAAATCTTTGTTTTGAGAAATAAAAAGAAAAGAGTCAAATTAATGAAGGAAATAATCTTGAAATTAAAAGTAGAAGATTTATTACGGAAAAAAAAACATCTAAACCTAGCTGACTCTTCCTTTTCAGAGAAAAAAATCAAACCCTCAAAATATATTTAACACATTCCTATATCTTATTCCTGTACTAATAAATGTGAAATTTCTTCAGTTGACGATATTACGGACCATCCGATGTCTGAAGCAGCACAGGCTTTCATACAGGAATCTCTCAAAGAGGTAAAATTTCGAAATCTTTTATCAATTTGTAAATTTCAATGTTATTTTTTTCCTGCAGGAGGATGAGTGTTTGGATCGACCGATGGAGATGGATTCCAACCCAACGTACAAACGCTGTCATCTTTGTGTGAGAATATTCTCAACCAAAGCTAATCTTAGGTATCCTTTAATCTTTTAATTTAGCCCGTTTTACAATATTATTCTCTCAGCATCAGAACTCCAGGATATGCCAAAACCCTGCGGGGGGTTTTCACGTTGCAGTCGAGCTAAACTTTTTACTCTGTATTCATATATTTCTCTTAACATAAAAAAGTTTGTCTTTCACATCTTTCAAACCCGGAATGAGTTTCTGTATTCAGTTATCATATTCTTCACATATATTTTTTATGCACCCGGATTAAGGTTCTGTATTATTGAATTTACATGTCCTTTACGCATTGTATATCATGTATACCCGGAGTAAGGTTCTGTATTGTTTAGATTTCATATCCTTCATGTATATCTAGTATACCCGGAGTAAGGTTCTGTATTATATAGTTCAAACATCCTTCATGTTTATTTAGTATACCCGGAGTAAGGTTCTGTATTGTTTCTCATATTCTATATGTATTGTTTGGTTCACATATTCGTCATGTACATCTAGTATACCCTGAGTAAAGTTCTATATGTATTGTTTAGTTCACATATTCGTCTTGTACATCTAGTATACCCTGAGTAAAGTTCTATATGTATTGTTTAGTTCACATATTCGTCATGTACATCTAGTATACCTTGAGTAAAGTTCTATATGTATTGTTTGGTTCACATATTCGTCATGTACATCTAGTATACCTTGAGTAAAGTTCTATATGTATTGTTTGGTTCACATATTCGTCATGTACATCTAGTATACCCTGAGTAAAGTTCTATATGTATTGTTTAGTTCACATATTCGTCATGTACATCTAGTATACCCTGGGTAAAGTTCTATAATCTATATGTATTGTTTAGTTCACATATTCGTCATGTACATCTAGTATACCCTGGGTAAAGTTCTATAATCTATATGTATTGTTTAGTTCACATATTCGTCTTGTACATCTAGTTTACCCTGGGTAAAGTTCTATAATCTATATGTATTGTGTAGTTCACATATTCGTCATGTACATCTAGTATACTCTGGGTAAAGTTCTATGTTTAGTTCACATATTCGTCATGTAAATCTAGTATACCCTGAGTAAAGTTCTATGTTTAGTTCACATATTCGTCTTGTACATCTAGTATACCGTTCTATAATCTATATGTATTGTGTAGTTCACATATTCGTCATGTACATCTAGTATACTCTGGGTAAAGTTCTATGTTTAGTTCACATATTCGTCATGTAAATCTAGTATACCCTGAGTAAAGTTCTATGTTTAGTTCACATATTCGTCATGTACATCTAGTATACCCTGGGTAAAGTTCTATAATCTATATGTATTGTTTAGTTCACATATTCGTCATGTACATCTGGGAGAAACTAAACACAGTAGGGTGAAGAGTATTCCTTGTCTTCACTGTCACAAGATGTTCTCAAGAAAGGTAAACAATATTCTAAAATGTCAAACTAATTTTCAGCTCCAAACTTAAGTAATTTGTTAAAATCTAGCTTTCTTAAGAACAGGGAGTTTTTAGAAACCCTTGAATTGAGATTTGGACATAATATCACGCAGTTGTCAACGAATATTTTATTCATTCTAGTCAAATCTGGTTTTATCTAAAATAATACAAATTACTTCAAATAGTTAAAATCAAACAGGAACTAAAAAGAAATATACACACGTTTACTGAAATATCTCGGTGTTCTTAGAGTTGAGTCTTCTCCATGTACTTGTTTACGTTCTGTAGACTTCTAAACTCCTCTTTTGGGACCATATACGTGGACTTCTAAACTCCTCTTTTGGGACCATATCCTTTGTTCTTTTAACCTCCTCTTTTGGGACAATATCCTTTGGACTTCTAAACTTCTCTTTTTGGACCATATACGTGGACTTCTAAACTCCTCTTTTGGGACCATATCCTTTGGACTTCTAAACTCTTCTTTTGGGACCATATCTTTTGGACTTCTAAACTCCTCTTTTGGGACCATATCCTTTGGACTTATATCCTCCTCTTTAATGACCATATCCTTTGGACTTCTAAACTCCTCTTTTGGGACCATATCCTTTGGACTTATATCCTCCTCTTTAATGACCATATCCTTTGGACTTCTAAACTCCTCTTTTGGGACCATATCCGTGGATTTCTAAACTCCTCTTTTGGGACCATATCCGGGGTCTTCTAAACTCCTCTTAGGTAACCATATTCGGGGTCTGTGTTCGGTGTTTTTGTAGATTACTTGTTTGTTTATGATTAATTGATTGAGTATTTTTTTTTCTAAATGACTGATAGAATTATTATAATTGTTGATTCATTGATTTATTTCTAGGGTCACATGACCGAGCATGTGAGAACAGTGCACGAAGGAAAAAAGAGAATCTATAAAGAAGTTAACTGCCAGGTAAAATAAAAAATATTTAGAAGAAAAATTGATAGTTAAAACTTGATATTCTTTTTTTTCAATCTCAAAATAAACATGTATTAGAATAAAACAAAACAAAACAAAAAAGTTTGGGCGAGAGAAAGAAAAAAATGTAAAAATTAATAAAAAACCTTAATTTTAGACTTGAATAAAATTCTAATAAAAGATTTAAAAGTAAGATTTATCAGCTTACAATGACATATTTCAGAAATCAATATTATACAATATACAGGGTCTCCCAAACCATATTGGTTCGTTAGTAGCTCTAAATTGCGGCTTTCGTGACTAATAAAAAAATTTAAAATGAATAAATCTATATATAAATTTGGCTTGTCTGTCTTTTTTTTTTTAAATCCGCAAAATTTTCTTCTTCTTTGTTTTAAAATGTAAACAAAAAGAACATGTTCACAATTAAATAGAAGATGGGCGCTTCAGCCTAGTTATTTTATAAGTTGTATAAGGCTAATATAAAAAGCATACAGAAAATACTAGGGTTTTCGAGTATTATGTGCAATGTTAATATTTTGCGTTAAACCTTGGAAATAATTTAATATGGGATGCTCTGTATGACGAAAACTTAATCCAACCCAAATCTTTATTTTCAGCACTGCGGGAAAACCTTCCGGCGGAAGTGGGGATTAAATATTCATATCTCATCGGCCCACGCTGACGTTGTGTCCTCTCTACTCAAGCAATAACATGGAATACATCCAACCAACCATATGTACCAACCAGAGGCGTAATCAGGAGAAGGCTTATGTTTTTTAGAGCCCCACTGGGTGCTGAGCCCCTTCCATGGAAAGAAAATAATTTAAGTCAACCTGGAAAAATTCCTGAGAAAGCCCCTGGTACCAACCTCATCTAACACTGTGACCCCCTTCCATGAATCTGGGTCACTTAATTTACCCTAAATTTACACTCGTTGCCTAGTTAACTATCTGAGATGTTAGCAGAGATATTATGTAACTATGACCTTGAGATTTTATATTGTGTAACTGACCCGCTGCCGTTAATTTTATTAAGTTTAAGTTGAGCTGTTTGTCAGCTAGTCCTAGAACCCTGTCATAAGAAAATATTGGTGCTATATTATTTTGCTCAAGTTTGTTAAATGATTTTAATTTTAATAAAGAATTGTTGCTCTATATGTAAATATGAATTAAAAACCCGTTAAACCTGTTTCAGATCAATATGCCGTACATGAAACGCCAGCTCCACTGGATTTCTAGAACTGTTATGGTCCAGAATAATAATGTCGAGGAGGCACTGAAGGTTGTATTTTCTGATGATAGAAATTCTTTTCAGTCTATATTTTGAGTAGTAGTAAAGCCAAAGACCACAATTACTAGAGGTTAAATCTTTATTAAAAGCACTGAAGTTCCCTTCAATGAGGAACACAGTAGAATCAACTTGTGGTCAAGGAGATATCGCTAAATGATTTTTCTCTCGGAAATTTCATCGTTTATTTAAGGCTTCCGCGTTCGATTTCTAGTTTATTCGTTGTAGATTAGCACTTTTTTCATACAATGTTCCGTGCTCGGACCCTAAGGGTAAAATTCCAATCAAAACCTTCTAAAAATAACTTTTCTTTCAAACCACAAATGTCAACTATTAACTAACGAGCGAAAAATTTGAAAGATTTTAATTGGTTAAAATCAATTAGTCTTGGTAAAATGTTCAATGATTATGATCTAGATCTTTTTTTAAGGGTCCGGGTCCGCATAAAAAAAATTGATCCTAAGTACTGATTCTAAGGTTGTCATGTTTGGAATTTTTATCGTTACAAGATTAAGACTTTGGTTATTTAAAGGATTATTTAAGTAAAAAATAAATTAATTAGAGAAATATAAATTCAATGGATTATCAATTGTTTTATAATTCTAGTTGTTGAACAGCATAATGTCCCGTGAAGGAATGTATTCAAGATGGATGAAAACTCGCTACTACGAGAAACCCTGTCAGGTAATAACTTTTTCCAATTTCCAAATGTGAAGGAAAAATTTAATTTTTTATAGATGTAAAGAATAATAGGAATTTTTCCAAATGTAGAGAAAAAGTTGGATTTTTTCTAAATGTTAAGGAAAAAAAGTTTTTTTTTCTGAATGTGAATAATTGTTTTTTCCAAATGTTAAGACAAAATGTTTTCAGAGCAATAATCTTTAAATGGGTGCTTGAACGACTAAAATATAAAGTATTTAATTTTAATTCTTTAAAGTTGTAATCTCTGTTCGTCTGTTTGTTTGTCCGATCATAACTCAGGAACCCCTGAACCAATTTGCCTCAAATTTTGATTGGGGAACTCGGGAGACCCACGGGAATGTCCTTAGCTTGGTTTTGAGATTCTAAATTGAGTGGGTCGACTTAAATAGCGATTGTGTAAACCTTTGATTTCTCGATCCAACAGAATTTCTAGTTTGAACAGTTTAAGGTGAAATATTTAAGGTTTACGACATAGGGTTGCAAAGATAAAGGGATTTAAAATTAAAAATCAAATTTTGCGGTAGACTCAATTCCTCTAATCAAAATTCGAATTCAATTTACAGTGTAAACTAACTTTTATGTGTTATAGGTTAGACAGCGAGTGAATTATGAGAAGAGCAGAGCAATCTATAACGAAGATATGAACGAGAAAATTAGATTTATTATGAGAAAAAATAGAAAAGATCCATATCCAGGATGTTGAATCTTCTTTTGTAGCATTTAATTAAAATAAATAATTTAACTAAGATTTATTTACAAAAAATTTAGGTTTAGTATACACACAATTTAATGAATACATAGTATATATAAAATGCGAATATGTGATAACGCCAATTTTTACTAATTCCATTTTACTTACAAATAATTAACTAATTAGACAAAATTACTAATGAAGTGAGAGAACAGTATTGCGTACAGAGTTACTATTGTAAAAGCTAGCAAACTTAAATATAAAAATGCCCAACAGAATTTTCAGTCCGAATAAAATCAAATAAATTGAGTTTAAATAATATTAATTAATGATCTCATATATTCAATGAACTCACCATTGAGGAATCATTATTATTACAGTTAAATTCTATTACGCTCACAGTTCAGTCCGGAAAGAATGTTTTATCCTTTTGTTCAAATATAAGGGGACAGAATTGAAAAGTTAAATAATTAATTGTGTAACAAGACTCTCAAACATAGAAACATAAGCAATGCATTTAGTTTGAACTAAAAGTAAAGATGTTATTTTCGTTTTAAAAAGCTGATAAAAAATACTGAAAATAAAATTGCCACCTTAAAATTAAAATAATTTTCAGTATAAAATTTGTGTAGTCCTGTATGGCTTAGAAATCATATAAAAAATGATCAATTTGAAAATAAATTTCACAATCCTAAGTCTTTAATTACAAAACTATCTTGTTCCATGATGAATAAGATTAAAAGAATGATGAAACATTTTAAAACTCCTTCTCCTCTAAACTATGACTCACTGTAATCCTTGGTAAGATGAGCCTCAATATCCACCCTGAAATATAAGAAGATGAAAACCCTGTTATCAGTTTTAGAAAACATAAAGGAACTATTTACATAATCCTAAGCGAGTGCTTTCATTGCATTAATTAAGTGCGACAGTCATTCATAAACTTCTTTGAAAATATGATGGAAATTTCAGCACGTAAAAAGGAGTTGAATGTTTTTCATATTCCAGATATAAAAAAAATAAGATCACTGTTAAAAGGACTGTTTAATTAGGCGTTATTTTCAGTGATCCTATATGCATAGATGACAATGCCCCATTTATAGCCGTACCCTTTAAAGCTTTGAATGATCAAGTATCAATTAGATAAATAGATATCCATGTTTTTGTTTCTTTAAACTGTTTATTTTCATTTACGGTTTCTCTGCAAAAGTGATTTGAGGATTTGCAGAAAAATGACGCTATCGTAAACATTTTTGATCAGATTAAGGTTTGAAGGGTACCGTTGTAAATCGATCATTGCAATCTTTGCATGTAACGTCACTTGAAATTACGCTTACACTCCCTTAAACTTTAAAGAATCGTTAATAGCACTCTTTCGTAAAAAGTTTACTAAAATTACGTGGACAATCCCTTTAAAACTTTTAAGTTACAACACTTTAACTTGATAAAAAATATGGTCAGTCCATTTGAAATCAGCCACTTCTTCCAAAAGTCAGTAGGAACCATTTCCGATTTTTTTCGAACTTTAAATATTAAAAGACTTCTGTGAGACATTACATAATCAGTAATTTTTAGACCGTTGACCTCCGTGTGCGGAGCACTGAGGTCATGAAGTTTTGACCTCTGTAAAGAGGTTGCGCTTTTCAAATTACCATATTTTTTTTCTTTTTGAGATATCAACCTAATTGTAGCGTCATTAAATAGGTAATGAATAAGGCTTTATTTGTTTGTAAAAAAATACAAAGATTAATTAGCATACAGTATTAAAGTTAATGTATAATTGAAACAAAATGATTCAAAATGTGTTTGTATGAGAAAAATTATGCATTTATATTATTCTTATTTTAAATTGAGCAAGCTATTTATCTCCGCCGCGCTGGTTTTGCAGAAATCACTGAAGACAGGCGAATCACGCTCACAAAACCGAGCATATCTTCTAAACCAATAATTTCTCGAGCATTGAACATATAAAAAAATAGTTTGTGTGAATTTATAAGAATTCGAAGTATACGATGTCTTTTTTTGGGACAAAAGTTTTCATTTGAAAATATCAAGTGCTAAAAATCATTTTATCGATTATTTTATGAACCAACAAATAAAGCCTTATTCATTACCTATTAAATGACGCTACAATTAGGTTGATATCTCAAAAAGAAAAAAAATTATGGTATCTTGAAAAGCGCAACCTCTTTGAAGAGGTCAAAACTTCATGACCTCATCAGTGCTCCGCACACGGAGGTCAACAGAGTCTAAAATTACTGATTATGTGATGTCTCACATATTTAAAGTTTAAAAGGAATTGAAGATGGTAACTGCTAGGGGGTGGCTGATTTCCTACGGACTGGCCCAATATTGAAGTTTCTTGGAAAAAAGTGAGTCAATCTATGAGTCTCAATCACGAGATCAATGGGGAAAAACTATAAGGACCTCAAAGCTTTTGAATCTCAGGGATGCAGCTAATAAACAAAGAAAATATATTTATAAGAAAAACACTTTAATTGACAATGAAAATATTATAAAAACACCAGTGCTTAGGATCAACTTCCTTCTGATGTGGATCCGGATCCAGGTGATAAACATTTCTTTAAGATTTTTACATTTTTGAAAAACTAAAAATTTCAAATTGTTTTACTTGCTTTTTCTTTATCTTTTTTCTAAACCTTGATGATCCATTTAGAGATAAGAATAATTTTAAAATCTATTTTAATTACATTTCAGATTTGAGTTTTGAGAGCAAAAACTTTTTTTTACAGTTTTTAGTTGATATTTTGCCTTTTGGATCCAGATCCGGATCCTAAGCAGTTCATACACCATTATATTTCAACTAGAATGAAAATCTAACCTGCAAATAGGACATCTCTTGTTCTGTCCAAGCCATTGATCCACGCATTCCACATGAAAGAGATGCATACAGGGAAGACGACGCACATCTTCCTCATGCTCAAACTCCGAGAGACAGATTGTGCACTTGTCTGCCTCCTCTTCCTCCCCCTCCTCCTCTCCTGGAACCACGGTTCTTTTTGTGAACTTGTGAGGGAAGGTGTTGCGTTCAATGCATTGTCGACTCGCTCCTCTCGTTACGCTTGCACTGCGTCTAGCCTCAATCAGGCGTACATATTCCTGGTAATTATAGAGTAAGAAGAATTTTGTTTAATGCGTGTGAAGGAAAATATTAAATAAAACTTCAGGTCTACATCTCAAATAGGTTTTTAGTCTTATACACAAAGAAAATATTCTCAAAACCATGGTTGACAAAAAATAGACATATTTCCAAGCCTCATTCAGGCGTACATATTCTTTGTAAAGATAAATAAGTAATAATTTTGTTTATAATGTATGTAAATGAAATTCAAATAAAACTTCATGTATACATTCAGAAGCAGGATTTTTAGGGAGAAATGTTTTTTTTTTAATACAATTAAAATGTTTTTTAAAACGGTACTTTGTGTCAAATGTTAAGCTTTAGAATATTCTCTTGTGTAATTTATGATTAATAATTTCGACATAGAAACCCTTAAATACATACAGCAACGGTAATCCAGCATAAGGATTAATGTATAAACCTGCTGTATAGATTGCACAGATGTTTTTATATTTTGTTTACTATAACCCCCCCAGTAATTTTCCATAAATATACAGACTAGGAACAAAAAAAACTGTCGGGAAATAAGATTTTTCTAAACCTTAAACAGAGACTTTAACTTTTCGTTGGGATAGCTTTTAGTCACACAATTTTTAATATAAATCAAGTTTTATATTTCAAATCTGTTAATAACTAGCCCCCCCCCCCCAGGACGGTTACATTGCAGTAGTTTAAATTGACGACCCCTTCTTTAAATTATCATAAATTATGAATTTCAATTTTCTCCGGAATTGAACTTCAATTCTTAAATTTAAAGTTTACGCTGTGGATATTGAATTGAATCGATGTGGCTTTGCGCTTTCCCAACCAAACTTTTCAGTCTGAGATCAAATGTAGGGAATTTTAACTTTCGTTCTTTAAGAAAGAATTGTGGGCCAAAAAACTGAGAAATCAAATATATTTTATTATGATAGGCATTTTCTATCTTAATTGTGATAACATTTTCTATTTGTATACATTGTAAAACAAAACCAAAAAAAAATTCGCGGATTTTATAAAAAAAATCGTGGATTTTCAAAATCAAGAAAAATTACCTCGATGCCAACCATACTCCGGGGTTGAAGCAGGAAGTTTGCAATTCCTCCGTAATTTTCCAAACCACGAGGATAGTTCTCTGCAGGACGAGGTATCATCACTCCTAGCTCAGGGTCCGGTAGGTTGATATGGGCTCTGAGATTAGGATTAGAGTTCCAAGGGTTGTGGTAATGAGGAACAGGATACTGAGGAAGTATAGAATCCTCTAGACCTGGATGAAATGCAAGGGTTGGAGGATCTGGCATGACCGGAGTATGCCATCTATGCAGGCTCTGCTGATATCGTCTATATCTACCACTAGGATCCTCAAACATTCTCTGCTGACCAGACTGGAGATGTGCCGGGGGCGGGTTCTGCATAGGAGAAATTGCAGACGGTCTAGAACCGATCATTATTCTAGGAACTGTTATCATAGGACGCGCTCCTTCTCTAGTATGAGACTCCTGTAACCCTGGAGGAACATTGGCACCGCTAGAACTCATTCCTGGTTGTTGTTCCTGTATTCCATCTACAGGGATTGGTTGCTGAACCTCAGCTCTACCCTCTACAACAGTAACTGGCAAGGTTGCAGGCGGAGCTGTTCGAGCCGGGGCCATTTGGCGTCTCATTTGTTCCTGATGATTATTCTGCATTTGCCAAAGACGCTGATGTCTAGGATTCATTCTCTGCACAGCTCGGAGTAATCTGTTCCGACCTAGACCAGATGAATCTGGCATATTTCCAGGGTAGAGAGAGGATCTATGCGCAGGAGGAGGAGTTTGATAAAATCCCGCATCAGGGATATCATGTTGTTCTCTACAGGGACAGCTAACAGGATTATGAAACTGTCCATGGTAGCATCTGTTGACCTCGTAGTTCCAAGGATGTCGGAGTCGTCTAGGTCTGAAATCTGAAGAGGAACCTGGAACAGCAGGTTCATGGTCACCTAGCTCCTGCATGGAGTGATGCAAGGGTGGCTGGTGAGGTTCCATCAAAACTGAATGACTATGATGAAGTTGTCTCAGTCTTTGGTATGTTGACATTTCAACTCCATCAGCTGCCTCTGATGTATGATAGAAACCTGGGTTAGGTTCAGCTACTATCTCAGCCTCTGTTACTTCATTATTTACCATAGACTCAGAGCTAACGCTAACGGTAACCTCAGAGGATATATTAACAGATCTACAGTTAGATTTGACCTCCTCTACACGGATATCATCCTCGTCACTTGTCATCTCCTGGGTCAAATCAACCTCGACTGGGAGTCTGGGCTGCCTCCTTCCTTTCTTTCTAGGTATCTTTACAACCTGGACATCCTCGCTGGAACTATCCTCAGAGTCTGATGACAAACAATCCAACTGGAGATCTGGAGCACCGAGATCACTTGCCTGCTCAGTACTAGAACTGGATTGGAGTCCAGATGTAGATGGAGTAGGTTCAGATATATCTACTGAGCCAGACTGTGCTCCGGAGGTTGAGGTTTTGGGAGGTCCAGTTCTTGACTGATGCAGTACAGTTGGAGAATGTTGGAGTGTAGAATCTACATCCTGGAGTCCTGAAGTTCCAGGTTGAGGTTCTGTTTCCACAACAATAGATTTCCGCTTCTGCTCCTTTTCCCTCTTCTCATTCTTGATCAGAGTTGCAGCAGCAGCTGGAGCTAGTGTAGCACACACTAGATCTCTTAGAGCCTCCTGGCTGTATGCAGGAACATGGTTTGGAGAAGCTCTAGACAGACTGGGAGAAGATTTAGTGCTACTTCCTCGAGAGCTGCTTTTACTGGAAGGTGCCAGGGTAGACGTAATAAGCTCTAGTTCAGGACCAGATAACATCGAAGTCTTAACTCCTGAGGTTTCAGTTTTTATCCTCGGTTCAGAGTCAACTTGTGGAACCTTGTTTACTGTAGCGCTTGATGTTAAAGTACTACTTGCCGCAGTAGTAGTAATAGAACTAGAATGGTTCTCAGCGTTACTATCAGTCGTTGTAACTATACTCATTGTAGGATGAGTGGCCAGTAAAGGAGGAGGATTAGAAGGAAGTTGGGAGGAAGTTGATTGTTGTTGATCAGTTAGTGTAGAAGAATCAGTATTAATGGTTCCCCTTATGTTATCATGCTTCATTATTTTCGTGCATGAACCTTCAGCTGCATCACCGACACCACGTTTCCTTGATACCGTTACCGCCCCATATGCTACATTGACAGAGCCTGGACTTGAGATTAGAGCCAGGTCAGGAGGAGTTGATGTACTAGCGTTCCGGACTGAAATCGCCCTGTTTATATGGTCATTAATATTACCTCTAGGAATGGTATCAGCACCAGTGGAGCAGGATGTGATAAAACTTGAAGATGCGGATTGTTCTCCAGGTATTCTTTGCAAGGATGGATTATCCAGACCATAGGTTTCTATATCATATGCATCTATGTTGTTCCTATGATGGTACGGTATCGGAGAAGAGCAAGTTTGAAGAGTTCGGGGCAAGACTGCGCGTCTCAAACGAGGAAGAGGAGGAAATGAAACATATCTATTATGCGTACTCTGAGATGATTCGTAACCGTCCCGAGGGGGTGGGTGGGACTGACTGGGATATTCATCCATGAGAGAGTGTGAATGAATATATCTACTATGGGATGGATAGGAATAGGTTTCCTCTCTAAAGTGTGGGTCTGGTAGTCGGACACAAGGTATACTTGTCAGCATGGATTCATATTGATGAAACCTGGACGGAGAATAGAAACATCCATCATTCCAGTTCCGGGAAGATTCTCTACGAGGATAGGATATTTCCTCCCTTGGGGTTGCATAGAGCGGACCCATCCTAGTTGGTCCTGACTCAGAAACAAAAACTGCATCCATACTATCATCCTCATCACTCTCCGCAAACAATCTGGCCGTATCTACGTCGTAGATTGAGTTCTCTAGGAAAGCCTCTGACCGGAGGTAATCCGCACCATTCGGATTAGCGGTAAAACTGGTTTCGAAGTTCTCTGCCAAGGAACCTGCTCCGGTGTTAGGGTCGGTGGAGCTGTTAGTTTTCTCCGCATTGTTTTGTCCTACGGAGATCTGTGGATTAAACTCCGTACTCCGTCCCGCAGGCAAGTTAGGGGAGAGGGGGCTTTGAGCCATCCTCACTTCTCTGAAATTTGTATACCAAGTAAAATGCAAAATACTTCTTTTTTAATGTCCTCACTATTCCTGATAAAATTTAATTTCTTAATCCTCAAAAAAAAATTTGCATTCAAATCTTTAGATCAACGTGCTATTCATCAAGATATACTGGTTACTCAGGTTAGCCTTGTAATTCTTTATTAATGCATATTTCAAGTGTTTCCCCGTTCAACTTTGTGTTTAGAAAAAGAATTTGCCTCAGTCACGAATTTATTTTTTGTTATTCTATACTAGTAGGTAGAATCCACAAATATAAAATTCAAAGAAAGTCTTTTGTTATCTCACTTCCATCCCTGTGTTCTGCTTGAACTGCCTGAACAAACAAGCCAATAACAGCACTCAGCAGTAATGGCAACAGAGAGAGAGAGAGAGACAAGGCACTCGGCAGGCAGGTAGACCACTACGCAACCTTTTTAAGGAAGCAAGCATACAAAACATGATGCTTACAAACCTTAAATAAAGAAAGAGAAAAGTTAAGTTTATTGACAAATTTTGATTCAAAAGTATATCTTTAATGTTTCTAAGTAATTTAGAGAAAGAACATACAATATTTAAGGAAAAATATTATATTTTTACACATATGTGTGGAAAAATTTTAAATGTTGCGTAGTGCAGTTCAATCACAAAACCTCTTAAAAACAGCTGAATATTGAATTGTAGAGTCTAGTCAGCTGATAAGTCTCCCATTACGTTAAAATTGTGCAGACACATTACACAAGATAACTTAATGAAGTTACTGTCTAAAAATCAAGCTGCCATGCCATCTATAAGGTTCGAGAAGAAAGAGACAGATGGATTAAGAACTGTGAATTTAAATGTACATCCCTATAGGACCAAACAAAAATTACCCCAGAATCATTGGTGATCAGGAACTTGTAGATTGGAAGCTCTAAAAGGGCAGAAGTACCTCGTTTTGCTGATATAGGACTCGTTCCATGTTCAAAGTAGCGATTTAGTGGTCTTTAGACATATTGTTAAAGTTTATAAATCATTTCAGATGAATATGTCCCTGGCAAACTCAGTAGGTTCCTTACTCAGATTCTCAACCCCTACAGGTATTTAAAGCTAGCAAATAATTTGAATGTTTATGGAGTCTGTCCTGAAGATTGATTTTTGGACTGTGCGCTTCGGCTAGGACAGGCTAATGGGCCGAGCGCCGCGGCGAGGACAGACTGGCGCTGCGGCAACATGACCAATGATATCCATGTACAAATTTGATATGAATGTCCTTAGCTTGGTTTTGAGATTCTTAGTNGGGCCTTTGGTGTGTTAAAAATCAGTAAATTACTTATATGCTTAAATTGGCTGAAACCGTAATTTCAAGTGACCCTCTATGCAAAGACTATAATTTGGTGAACGTCGTTTTTCTGGATTTTAAAGTGTATACTTCTATTAATTTCTAAATGATTTTTTTGCAGTTAAAATGCTCAAGTAACTTTGCAGAAAAGCAAAATTGAAAAAAATCAAAATTATTATAATTAATGGTAATAGATACATACTTGATGAGGCAAATTTTTAAAGATTCTATACCGTTGTGAATCGGACATTGCTATCTTTGTATGGAGGACAGAGGTTCACTTGAAATAACGCTAACAGTCTTTTTATATTCATTAAATTTCTGTACAATTCTATATATATTTTTTACCTTTATAACAATTTATTTATTTTAATTTTTTTCAGACTTTATATGAAACAAATTTATTAATACATTTATTATTATTAACATTTGTCCCATCTTCTTGTTTTCTGGCTGTCCTGTATTGCTCATTCAATTGCATTTTCGATAGCTGACCAGGCAATTTGTAGTATTTAAATCTCAGCTCTTGAATTTCCGCATTTTATCCAGTTGTGTTTCATATTTGCCATCTATGCAGGTTTATTACTGACATTGTTTTAATGAGAACTATCTTTGTCAGCTGCATTGAGTTACATGTATCTGTGTCTTGCATTAATTTAGAACGATATTAAAAGACCTCCTTGCCTTACTGCATTCGGTTAGGTTAAATGTGATTTAGGTCCCCCTAGGAAAGGAACACCCATGATACCAATAATGATCTCTCTCATAAAGTTTTGATTAAGATTCCACAGTAAAGCAGTCTCTGAGTATCTATATCTGCTCATGAAGAAGGAGAAGGTTTGATTTTAGGAGGTAGAAGGATGAGGATGGGGGTGTAAGGGTAATAGGTATGAGATATACCATAGCCCTCACTGTTAATGTATATTCCCACGTGAACAGGTTTTTTAAGAAGAAATAACCCGCTAAGCATGCTGTCCCATCGCTTTAAAACACGAGGAGTGTGTCTTTTAATCAGCTGCGGAACAGGGCTCTTCCAGAAAGGGCTTCAGATCGCTAAATATAGTGGGTGTAAGGATTAGCATTAGACATACTGGCTCTGTTAGATTTCTTTCTTTTTATTTTTCTTCTTTATTCTTGTAAATTCGCATTTCTTGACTTTATACCCCGGCCGTAGATACTGTATCAGTAAGATAGGAAGTTAACTAATCGAGCATGGGGTTCAGGGCCGCCTGGCCTTCCCTTCCTCCAGTGTGTAAGGCAACAGCGCCGACATATACAAAGTGCAGAGAGCAGTCAAGTAGGTCTGATCAGCATGCCGACCTAGGAACAACTCTATATAAATAAATAAACTATTTTGTTAATAAACTTGAGATTTATTTTGATACTTACTAATGTCAAAGCGAAATTAATTTCATCAGTCATTATAGATTATCACGAGAAATGTATTAATATCCCCTTTATACAAAATTATAAACGAAAATCAAATAAATACCACTCAATCTTGTAAAGGTCGTCGAGGTTTATCTGTATCCAGCAGCCTGGCTACAAAGCAGCTCACCGTCAGAGATGCTCTTAACATGGCACTAGATGAGGAACTAGCACGAGATGACAAGGTTTTTATACATATAATTTATTTGGGATAAGTCGCCCCTAAAAGGTGGAAAAGAGGCCGTGAAATATGTTTACTAAAAAGACGTTCTTCAAAATGATAGTATCATTAAAGGACAATTAATAAACAAGTAAAAAAAGGCCAGGGGTTCATCCTTAGATTTTGTGGAAGGTTCAATACTTCACGTTTTCATGGACTAATATACTATTTGTGGCAAATTTTATTGACCAAGAAACTATTTTTTTGAAGTTTTTATGTGTTTAAACTCTACTAAATGTTGTTAGGTGGTTTTATTTTGTGTAATGGGTGGACAATATTCCTAGATTAACCCATGGTCTAAGATAACCTCCCCTTTCCCCTGGACAAGTTTCTGCAGTGCAGTTCTGGTCAAAAACGGTTTCAGAATTTTGATCGCATTGACCAAGGAGTCAGATTTCTAGTTTTATTGACGGTTTAATGTGTATTATTATACCAAAGTATTTTTTAAATGTTAAAAAATAATAATCTAATTTTATTCTTGTTCAAGTCAAAATATCAAATAGTTATTTTCTAAAAATATTTCATAGTTAATTATTTCTTTTTTATGAAAAATCATGTTTTGAGACAATTTTGTGATTTGATTTTTGTCCAGGTTTTCATCATGGGAGAAGAAGTGGCCCAGTACGATGGTGCATACAAGGTGACCAGGGGGCTCTGGAAAAAGTACGGAGACAAGCGTGTAATTGATACACCAATCACGGAGATGGGATTCACAGGATTGGCAGTTGGAGCAGCTTTCAACAACCTGAGACCCATCCTTGAATTCATGACCTTTAATTTCTCCATGCAGGCTATTGATCAAGTGATCAACTCTGCAGCTAAAACTTTCTACATGAGCGGAGGAGTTGTTAATGTTCCAATTGTATTCAGAGGTGAGACAAACATTGATTCCTAATCTTTAATTTATAATTTTTCAATCTTTCATTAAAAAAGTTCTTCTTGGCCTGAAAAAGTTCTAACTGGACAATAGGATGATATTTTTGCATCAGAATACAGATAAATATTAAGAATAAAGGGAAATTAAAATAATTTTAGAGAAGGTTATTGAATATTCATTTTTAAAATACAACGAATTATTTTTTTAAAGAAAATTTCAATTTTATTTTAACCCCAAGAAATTTAGAAAAATAGTTCAAAACAATGCTAATCCTACATTCTTTGTTTAATCAGCAATCTACTAAAAACAACAGACTTGTCACGTCTTAAATTGAAATTCTAATATCCTTTTTTGATCACGTGTTACTTTCCTTTTTCTCTTGATTTTTAGCGGCAAAAATAGATGATAACTGATAAGATTAAAGGGTAATTAAATCGATGTTTTAACTGCAAGATGTTTTGAAAAATTGTTTAAAGCATTGCTGATCCTAAATACATTAATGCAATCGACTTACAAACAACAGACTTCTCACGTGTCAAGTTGAAGTTCTATCAAATATTTCTTAACACGAGTTACTTTCATATTTCTCCAAATTGTAATGGCCAATATAAATATTATTGATCAAGTCATGCCTTGAGGTTGAAATGTCGAAATATCTACCTAAAAGTAAATGTACATCATACGAATGTTGATTCAGGTCCTAATGGTTGTGCTATGGGAGTCGCTGCTCAACATTCTCAATGTTTCGCTGCTTGGTACGCTCATTGTCCAGGACTCAAGGTTATTTCTCCTTACGACAGTGAGGACTGCAAGGGTCTACTCAAGGCTGCAGTCAGAGACCCTGACCCAGTGGTCTTCCTAGAGAACGAACTTCTTTACGGAACAGCTTTTGATGTCGAGGATAAAGTTTTTGAGTCAGATTTCCTTCTTCCCATTGGTAAAGCCAAGATCATGAGACAAGGATCCGACTGTACCCTAGTCGCACATTCTATCGGAGTAGGGTTCGCCCTCTCCGCTGCGGACGAGCTTGCCAAGGAAGGAATCAGTGTTGAAGTCATTAATCTAAGATCTATCCGACCCCTGGATATGGATACTGTCAATAAGTCTGTAATCAAGACACATCATTGTGTAACTGTAGAAGGTGGCTGGCCCCAACATGGAGTTGGAGCTGAGATCTCCGCCAGTCTTTCCGAAGGACCCGCCTTTCACTACTTGGACGCCCCTGTAATAAGAATCTGCGGCGTAGACACCCCTATGCCCTACGCTAAAACCGCCGAAGCCGCCGCTACCCCTAAACCTCACAATATTGTGTCGGCGGTGAAGAGAATCCTTGGCAAATAAATCATCTTCTTCATGAAACTCCTCGTTGTGAAATCTACCAGTAAACCCGGTCAAATACCTATTCTCATAAACCAGAACATATCTGTTCCAACGCAGAAACTTTAGTTTTCATCATCTACACTTCTATTCAGACACTAGTTTATTTTACTTTCATATTGTTTCTAAAGATAGAGCCATAATGTCAGTAATTTTTAATTTAAATTAATAAATGATAACTTATTATTAAATTTATGCCATCTTGGGTGTATTTTTTTCCTAAAAGTAAGAAATATAAAATGTAGTTTTTTATCCTCTTATAGTTATTATTTCTAAAAGTTTTCTTAAGAATAATTGCTTTTTTAGTCTTTGTGGCTAATCTCCACCACCTTTAAAGCTATTACGTGAAAAAGAAAGACCTTGTAGGTTTAGACTTAGATTAAAAAGTTTATTTCTTTTAGATAGATAATTGTATAATATGCACGACGAAACAGAAATTGACATACTGTTTTTTTTCGAAACATGCAGCACACGTGGCAAAATTAGATATTCATGGAGATATATTTTTATTGTTTTAAACATTTTAATGTTTCAAAAATTGTTTTAAACACATTTTAAAACTATTTAGCATATCAACTATTAAAAATTTCAAGTTTTCAGGAACTGGGGTTGTTGGTGATTATTATTTTATCTTGGAAAATATATCCGATTATTTTTTATTAATATTCCACAAATTATTACTATGAACGCCAAAACATCGCCTTAAAATCTTGAGTATTGAAAGTATTGAAGAGTCCCCTGTTCTAGATTAGAATAGACATGTCTGGAGATGATAAGATCGTCTGTATCCGAATCAAGATCCTGGAGCTAGTGGAGAAACGGGGTCCGGAGAAGACCTGTTGTCCGAGCGAGGTTGTGCGGGTTTTATTCTCCGACTGGAGATCTGAGATGGATCTGTGTAGGCGTGTAGCCTGGGATTTGGAGGAGGAGGGTAGGATAGAAATATGCCAGGGGGGAAAACCTGTAAAACAACCTGTTACAGGACCCATCAGGCTTAGAATCAAAAGCCAAAAGTGTGGATAAATCACCCGCTAAAAGATTGAATAAATAACCCGTTAAATGAGAAGGAAATGTATTTAATTTTAGTGACTTAGAGTTCTTTTATTTTAGGGAACATAAAAAATAAAAAATAGATAAAAAGCTCATTAGGTTTTTTCCCTGTTCATACTGGTAGAAAGTACTGAAAACCCTGGAAGGTTTATATTTCCTCTAGAAAACCGCAGTACGCTTTTGTGTTGAGAAACATATGAAGGTGTATCTTTGTTGGTGTATGGTGCTCTACAGAAAATAGATGAATACAACTTTAAATTTAGACTGTTTGTATATTTAACAGACTGAAGACCAAAGTAACTGCCTACTCACCTCAAACTCTAAACTCCATACTCTTAAAGGAGGCCAGTCGGCCCTCTGAAACATAAATTATGATCCATTTAATTTTGATCTGGATCCGCACTGGAAAACTAGTTAGTGTCAAAAAGTGATAAAAGGTGTCCCATTTTTTCGTAATATTGAACATTTTAGCAATTTATAGTCTTTCATTATTTTTTGGGTAATAAACTTCATGCACAAGGAAATCTATGTTCAACAGGATTAAATAGTTAATTGTTCGTTAATTTTATCTCGAGAAACTCGAGGATAGCCATTAATGTCAGAGTTGCTGTTAAATTAAAAAACAAAATATAAGATCGTTGGTCAAGTTAAATGTCAAATATGAGAGTGAAATAAGCTAAAAGCGGAAGGGTTTTTTCCTGAGATGTTGGATGGGTCAATCTGCTGAACAATCCAGAGATGATTTCAAGAATGTTTTGGGGGGGGGGGAGTCTTAAGCTACCAAAAAATCGAAGCACTTTTCGAAGTGTCTTCTTTATTTGATATACATCTAATTTTCTAATCCTCGTTCTTTTCAACCATCTGGCGTAAACCTTTGGTTTTTAAAACTTTGATTATTTGATCTCGGAGAAAGGTTAAAGAATTTAATGGTTTCGGACATAAGGATGCTGAGATATAAGGATTAGAAAATTTGTGCCGTGTAATCTTTTCCTTCAACCTTCATATCTATATATTTATATATATTTGGCGTGTTTGTCTGTCTGTATTAAAGAAACGTTTGAACCGATCAGACCCTTTTTTGTGGCAACTCACATGACCCAAGGGAAGATGAGCAATTTTCCATTTTTATTATTTTTGAGAATGCGGCAATTTTAACAGAAAAATTCACGATAATTTGTGCAAAAGTTCTAAGTTGGAAATGTTAATAGGAAAGGATGCGCGAAGCACCTAGAAATCTAGTTTTTGCAATTACAAATATTTGGTCTAATCCTTTGTTGGAAAATCTCTATAATAATACGCCACAAGAAGAATCCGCCTGGAGAACATGTTTTATCGGGTGCATTGCGGGCTGGACTAATATTAAACATAGCACAAAAGGAATTAAACATAGCACAAAAGGAATTGAGTCTTTACCACAAGCTCTGATTTTCTAATCCCTATATCTACTTAACCCAATGTCGTAGACCTTAGATATTTCAAACTATGATTTCTGTCTGAAATATCAAAAAGTTTACTCAATCTGGTTGCAAAGATATAGGGATTAGAAACTTTGAATTTGTGACAAAGACTCAATTCCTTTTCTAGGAAAAAATAAATATATGTTAGGGTATGAAGTCTCCAAAAGGGGGACAAAAAACTTGCCTGTTTTTTCGTATTTTTCAATTTTTTCCTGAGTCAAACAAAGATAAATATGTTTAGGTGGGATACATTTATTTAGAAACATTACGAAACTACAGATAAGACAATAAATCAGAACTATGATTAGACTGGACATTTAAGAATCAGTATCCGGAGATAAGTTATAGATTTAAAGATGACTTTCGAATATATGAAGGACCATGATAAGGTAAACCAAACCGCATATAGATTGAAGGATTAAGAGAGCTGGAGGAACTAGTGGAAGGATCAGGATTCTTATAAACATAAGAGCTTCGCTCAGGATTAGGATAAAAAGTAGTTATACAGGTTTACCCAAAAAGGATGAGATTTGAATGACAACCTTTCTGAAGGGTAAACTCTGTCTTTGGCCTTTAAATGATCTACTCAATGGTTTGGCAAAGAAAGACCATACTGAAAGTTGAAACTAAGACTGAGAAAAAAAGTTTTTAAGTCCCATCTCTTGTGTGTAAACCTGTACAGTGAGTGTATATTGGAAGGATTAGTAAAATTAAAGGACTTGGATTAGTAAAATACAAAGAACTAGATATATGTTAAAAAATATCCGGAAGAAATAGGGAATTGGATATTGCAAGGGACATTAAACGAGAAAGGAATTGAGCTTTTGGTACAAACACTAATTTTCGAATCCCTTTATCTCTGCAACCTGACGATGTAAACCTTGGATATTTCAATAATATTTGACGGGTTCCAAATATATAGGGATTAGAAAATCAGAGTTTGTGGCAAAGACTTAATCCTTTATCATGGGAATTTAAGCAGATAGATATAAAAAGGGAAGTTAATGCTTAAAGGTATATTATGATGCTCATAAGTCGAACAAACTTTATTCACAATAGACTGAGCATAAATAAAATGCAATTACAATATATTGGGATTGGTGATATTTAAAAGTTATTTTAGCTAGGATTAGGACTTGAATTGGGAACCAGTAAAAATGTCTATTTAATATTTTAGCTGAAGAAAATATTTGAATTGATGAGTACTAGAACAAGGAGAAATGGAAGACTGAACTGAAGAACTCTTTCCCCTCCGCTCTTCAGGGAGAGTCCATTGCAGTGATCCGTCCCACAGCAATCAATTCGGACATCCTAAAGCAAGTCGAATTATCAATCATTAATAAACATGGTTTTTATTTTTACGAAAATTTATATCAATCACTTCTAAAAGGGTTTACATTTGGAAATTATTATTCGATTTCCATGCACTGCGACATTTTAAAATTATGTTTCACCATAAAGTGCCGGAACTAATACAATTACGATATCTATTTTCCTTCCTGTAAATTATTTGTTGGTTGTTCAGAGTTGATCATTTAAAAATTAGAATACAATTTATATTTTTTTAACAATGTTTTATGATTTATTTTTTATAATTTTTATAAAAATCAAATGGTACGAGGCACAGTTAATAATTTCAAATGTTCATCTTTTTCTCCGTTCTCCATCTGCACGTCCGAAGGTTTTCTTTTTCTGTCTTCCCTTTGCCCGTCCAGCCATGGCGCTGCTTTTGAAAGAATGTTTACGAGTCGCTGTCTTTGTGCTATTGTAAGACAGTGCAGCACAGTCTCAGCTCTGCACTGTCTACTTGAATGTGCTAGGTCACCACTCCCAGCACTTTCAAGTTAGTTTCTGTTTGCAGTACAATTTATATTTAAAAATACAATAAATTCTCGCAAAAACATACCAATACTTCAAGGTTTTCTACGGACGGAAAAATAGTTTCACGGACTGTACCTGGTTCCACTGTGCATTGAGTAGCTGTGCCCATGCATCCTTGAATGTAGGATCACAATGGGTTTCTCCTGGATACGCTCCTTGGCGTACAATCCTTCCATCTCCTAGAACCACGCTCACACACTGCGTGTAGAACCCAACCACGTCTCCAAGGTCCTCGACAGTGTCCACAGCGGACCTAGGGTATTTTTCTTGTTCATTATAATTCACCCTTTCCTGTGGACTAAAGGACGACTCTTAACTTGAACCTGAGCTAGAAAATTTTGTGTTTAATTCTTATAATCCCGATCACTTGATCTCTATATTCACTGGGGGCATTTATAATTTAAGGATCTTTTAGTTATTCCTCCCCTCATCAAAGTTTTTTTCAACCCCTGACTGGGTACGATTTCCATGCGGAATATCGGATAAAGATCAGATTAATCTGCATATTAAAAAGAAGATCGAGATCGAGCGAGCATTGAGCTTGCTGTACACAATACAAGATTTTCCAGCTCTGATTATATTGTTTTATGTTCCCTTTCAAATTCTCAACTTCGAAGTCTAAGAAACAATAAGTGTTCTTTGTTTCCGATATTAGTTTCACCTGTCCTAAAGTTGCAAACCCTTCAATAAGCTTCAAAACCTTTCAAGAGGTTGAACAACTGTTGAGAAAATGAATATTGAAAACCAGGTCAAATTTATTCTATTTCAAATTCTCCAAACAATAAATATATTTCCTAGAAGTAACCCCGCTAAAAGCAGTCAAAACAAACGAGGAGTAAAAACTTTTCATCTTCTACAGCACATTTTATGTAAGTTTAACTCTACCGTTTTTACAGGGCGAACCTTTTATACCAAATCAACAGTCTTTAAAGGGTTGTATAAGTTACCTCACAAATGCAGAATTTTATCTTTTTCTGAGCAACAATAAGTACAAAGTAGGATATCTTTGTTTTTGATAATTTCCACTGTTGGTTTTTCTGAAAGGTGACTTGCTTGTTTATGCAGCAGGGACAGACAAGAAAATCGTCTGATTTTTTATAAAGGAATTGAGTCTTTTCCACAAACTCTTATTTTCTAAAAAATCTATATACTTGCAACTCAATGTTGTAGACCTTAGATATTTCAAACTATGTATTTTGCTATATCAAATCATCAAAGTTTGTAATATCAAAGGTTTACGCCATAGAAACACCTTTGCAAAGATATAGGGATTAGAAAATAAATTAGATTTTGTAGCAAAGACTTAAAAATTCTTAAGTTTTATTATTTATTTAATTATTTGTCTTTGCTGCATAAGTCTTTAAAGCCTTTTAATACACAAACCAACATTGGAAATTATCAACTTTCAGATTTAACACCAGCAAATCTTAGACAAAGATTTTACAAGTACCCCTGCATAATCAAAAACTCTTTAATTGGAGAGTCAATTGAAATAACGTCGACAGTCCCTTTAAGTTACAAAACCTAAATACCAATTTATCAACCTTCAGTGCCAAGTTACCGACCTTGAATGTCGACCATAATTTCGAAGATTGTTTGTCTTAAAAGTTTTCTGTTTCTCAGTTTGTAAACAACAAGGAAATGGGGGGATTGATGTTCATGGACCCCTCCCCTCGTATCCTTGTAAAAGTAAACCTTTATTCCCCTAGCTTGGTAAAGTTCTCCTCTCACGATATCAGTGTCAGGTTTGGAGAGTTATGGGAGAAAATAGAAATACAAGGGAGTGGAGTAATTACATCCAAGGCAGCGTGCTCTTTCAACATTTCGGAGCTTTTGTCTAATTCTAATGTTATTCGAGCACCCTTGCTGCTGGGGAAGGTTGACTTCTCGTCAATATTTGACTGTAAAGATTTCGATTGAGAAGTTTTAAAGTTAAAAGTTCAGACAAACCTTGACATAGAAACTGAGCTTTTTGTCACAAACTCAAATTTTCTAATCCCTTTATCTTTTTAACCTGATGGTGTACACTTGATATTTAAAACTTAACTTATTTGCTCTAACATAATTCATAATTTGAAATATCGAAGGTCTCAACTTCATTGGGTTTAAAAGATTTACAGTTTAGAAAATCCAAGTTTGTGGCAAAGACTCCATTCGTTTACATTTCTGAATAAAAAAGGAAATGTTTCGTGTTTGATTTAAGGATCTATTACTCTGTAGAGAGTAGAGTTCCATAATAATGTCAACATGAGTGCATAGTCAACAGTGTATGTTTGGTGTTTACATTGCAATTGTATTGATTATAGTATATATTTGAAGGGGAAATATACTAAATTAGTTTAAATGACAAGTTTATGATTAGTCCTATAATTACCTGTCCCAGCCAGGACAAGTCTTATTCTCAGATTCATTGCATCCGTAACATTTCAGTCCGCTATAAAACCATCTTCATCTTCAAAAAACTTTTTCTAAAAACTAGTGAAACGAAACTAAGTCTTTTCAAAAAACTTAGATTTTCTTATCTACATCTTTGTAACCCGATGTCGTAAACTTTAGATTTTTCAAACTGTCAATTCTTTGAGATTAAATAATCTAATTTCAAAATATCAATGGTTTACATAATCAGATTGCAAAGATATAGGGATTAAAAAAATTGAGCTTGTGGAAAAGACTCAATTCCTTTAACAATAAAAACTAAAATAGCAATGACATATTTTTCCGAAAATTATAATGGAAGACGACAATTACTATATAAAACTCTGATCTGTAAAACAAAAGAAATTTTAATTTAGATTGATTGGAATATTTCGTGAGTAATGATATTAAATAATTACTAAGTGGATAAGCATGACTCTGCATATCAATGAATCAATATTGGAATATAGTTCTGAAGATAAAACTGTTCCTTGTGTATTTAGAGAGCAGTGTAGCTGCTAATAACAAGGCTCTGATACCCATTGTTCAAATCATTGAAAGATTCCAGGTTCAGATCCTGGTTGAACTCACTAGATTACATATCCTGTAGAACCTAGAGCTTCAGGCAATCATCATTGTTATCTGGAATAATACAATTGATGGTTTAATATTAGTATTGGATAAACCACATATATCCGTCCCTGCTCCTCGTCTTGGTGGACAGGAAAATATAGTTTTATATAACCTGACCTACAGGAAAATATAGTTTTATATAACCTGACCTGCAGGAAAATATAGTACTATATAACCCAACCTACAGGAAAATATAGTTTTATATAACCTGACCTACAGTAAAATATAGTTTTATATAACCTGACCTACAGGAAAATATAGTTTTATATAACCTGACCTACAGGAAAATATAGTTTTATATAACCCGACCTACAGGAAAATATAGTTTTATATAACCCGACCTACAGGAAAATATAGTTTTATATAACCTG